GGAGAGGGCACTCTGTAAAACATGTACCTAAGCATAAGATAAAGGTTTCAAATGCATGACTTTTGTCAGCTTACAATTCCTAGGCACATGAGGCTGCTTCAAGTTATGATATGATGCCAGGTCAAGCTTGTGAACACAGCTAAGGTCACAATCATAAGTTAAAAGATAATCTAAATGATAGGTAGTCAAAGATCTGGTAGAGCAAACCAAAACTGATTTGACATCTCAATCTCCTCATTTCATATATTGAATATCTCCCTAAAGTAAAAAAAAATGACTAAGGATAAAACATTGAGTTTCAGACAAATATCTCCATAAACATGTGTCTAGTTCTGCTTAATTAATGCATAGTCCCTTGAAGATAGCATACTTTTTTAATACCAATACCTACACAGTTAATTTCAATGCCTTTTGCTTATAACTTATCAACTGTTTGTACAAAATTTTCAAAACCAAAAGCATTATTGTAAATAATAATGGTAAGCAGCTTGGTGGTAAAGTTAAACATGGCTTGTGAGGCATAATATTTTGATTACAAAAGTCTATGCTAATTCATTTAATGTGAATTAAGGGAAAGATATCTACAGAGGTACGTCAAAACGCCAACCAGAGAAAGGATAAAAAGAAAAATATAGGGAGTGAAATTATTGCATTGCAACAAGCACAGGGTATCTATGGTCATGCTGAGTGACAGGGTCAATAGTGAACCCGAGGGCTACAAAATGAAAATGAAAAGACTCAGTACCCAGGTCTCATTTATAGAATATCTGCATTCAGGTTAATTGCCACAAACCTATCCTAACTCCATCTCAAACAACTTGGTCTACATGTGCTCCAATGCTATGTTATTGTTAGTTAACAACTAGGCTGAAAACCCAGCGAAAACACACATCATAGCACATGGCAGCCGCAACGTGCTGGCAACGTGACAGCGGCCACTGCCCAGATTCAGGGAAGGCATCGATTTTTCAGCATCTTGTTCGCTGGCAAAACGGCCACTCACCTCTTTTCCTTTTTGACTGTTGCTCAAGATGTTGCGCAGCAGCAAGTAAAAGCTCTATGCTCATAGCGGCACCCCTCGGTTGCACGAAAATTCCCTGCAAAAACAAGCGACGCCCTAGCAATTACATGAACAGTCGTCAGGCAGCGCCCAAATCTACGCCGTACTCGTGCTTAGTAAAACACGTGTATATCCTGAGGAGAGCCAGTACAGCATTGAGTGCTACTTATTTCTACGTTGGAAAATGTACAATATGATGTTTGAAATATACAACAATATATATTTATATAATTTGTTGGGATTTTAATATTTTTCACTCCAAAACATTATAAGAAAGCGAAAATGTTTCATCACCACTCGCAGGTAACAACCATGGTCTAGCGACAACGTCCAATCAGCAGCGGCATGGTGGGCGTGGCTTCCGGAGTTCCCGCCCGTGACACGTCGGTCGATCACGAGGAGCGGCGCCTGGCACGCCGGAGAGCACGGGGCGCAGGGGGTTGGTCATTGCCCAGTTGGTGTCTGTATGTGTTCGCTGCCGCCCGTACCGTTTCTTGTAGGTATCTATCTTGGCCCGTACGGTGTCTCTCAACGCAGTATAACAATTAGCCTGGTAGTTACGGTGTAGCTAGGAGGAAGGTGCAGGGGCCAGGGCGGTGTAGGTGTAGATGTAGGTAGTGGTCAAGCTTTGGGGTGAACGTATGAAATACAAATTGACTTGGCTACAGAATAAGGCATAAGCAGTAGCGGCGGAACACCTTCAATTAAGGGGGGGGGGGGCACTGCCCACTTTTGGTCCCATTCTTTCCATGGCCCATAGGGCTAATGTTAAAATGGCAAAATCAAGGGGGCACGCCCCCCCCCCCCCCGTTCCGCCACCGATGAGCATAGGTAACCATTTTATCAGGTGATGACCGTGACCTCGGGTTGGTTACGTGTTTTTTAGTTACCTACCTAGCCCGCAACTAGCCGGGGTTGTTGGAATTTCCCCTTGCGGTTTTCTGATATCCAAGGTATTTCCGAGTAAAATGCCTACTTTTACCGGCGTCGTCAGCGGCGTATTTAGAAAATCGCGAAGGGGGGGGGGGGCCAAGGGTTTGGAGGGCGCCACCTCACCCAAGGAGGGCGCCATACGGTCGCGAGATAAAAAATCGCTCAGTGGGGGTTGGGGGGTTGGGAGGCGTTTTTTACCATGCCACCAGTTTTTTTTTGCGTAACCTCGTATAGGTCGTGCTGCATTGATTTTGCATCGTGTCAGGGGCGTCGACGCGTAAGGAAAACTGGTCCGACTTTTTCTCGGGGGCCCCCCACCGGTGGGGGCCCCCAGGGGCCCCCGTGGCCGCAGCAGGGGCCCCCCGCGGCCGCAGAAGGGGACCCCGCGGGCCGCAGCAGGGCCCCGCGGTGTCTAGCAGGGCCCCAGAGGCGCAGCAGGGCCCCCGCGGTCTCTAGCAGGGCCCCCCGAGCCGCAGTAGGGCCCCCGCGGTCTGCAGCAGGGGCCCCCGCGAGCCACAGCAGGGCACCGCCTAGTCGAAAAAGTGGTCCGACTAGTCGGAAAAGTCGGACCGGTGTCGACGCCCCTGCATCGTGTGTATTCATTATACTCCAGGTCACAAAAGGTCAAGTGTTCTTGAAATGCTGCGCCGAAGGCGCGCGAAATTTTTGAAAACAACCTTTTCCTTCGCTTTTTAGGCACGCTTTTTATACGATCACTGTTCAAAGCTCCTCTCGCTCTTTTACCAAATTTGAAGGTGTAAAAAATACCTAAGGTTTGGTCGGGCCGCTGCCACACAAACTGTACAGAAAGCTTGGCTCATGGGTGTCGATGTATAAAAGTTTATTGGCGGTGGCATATCTACGCACCAGATCACCGTATCGGATTGATACCGGAGCGCGAGATGCGTAAACATCATCCAAATTACCTCAGACCAGCCTTCATAGCCTTCTCACAGATGCATACAGTGTACCCACATAACCAGTTTCAATCACCGAAACTTCAGATGCCTGCTATTGCGCCCGAACCTGTTGACAATACTTAATCGTAATCCATATAGATTATAGATGCCATGATGCACGTAAAGTAGGATCAATCCGTTAAGACCAAAGACGTGTTTTATGCATCGTAGAGCGTAGATAGTTTTGGTAGGTATAGATACTTCATTCATTGTGCTGAATGCACGTTCATTTGTGGCAGTTTTCACAGGCAAGACATCAACTATGTGCAATAGAACGACTAAGTTGAAAAACATGCCAAAGGAGTAAATAAATGATAGGAGGGCAGCGATCAACGGATGTTGCCAATAGGTAGAAGGGCTGCGATCCACAGGAGGGCACTAATAGGTAGAAGAGCCCCGATCAACATCCCGAGTTTCGACAGTAGGGCACCGATAGGTAGGAAGTTGGCGAGCAGCAGGAGGGCGCCAATGGATAGAAGGGCAGCGATCAACAGGAGGGCACCAATAGGTAGGAGGGCGCCGATCAACAATCAACAGGAGGGCGCCACCAGGTAAGAGCGTGGCGAGGAACAGGAGAGCACCAATAGGAGGGTGGCGATCAACAAGAGGTCGCCAATAGGTGGGAGGGCGGTCATCAACTGGAAGTCGCCAATGAGCGGAAGAGTGACGATTAAAATGGAGGTGGCAATAGTGAGGAGGGCGCCTTTGCTCAAGAGGATGACACGAACAGGAGGGCGTCTGTGCGGAGGGCGCTGGTCAACAGGAAGGTGCCAGTGGATAGGAGGGCGGTGATCAACAGGAGGGTGCCAGTGGTTAGGAGGGCGGCGATCTACACGAGGGCGCCAATAGGAGAAGGGCCCCGATTAACATTCAACAGGAAGGACTAGGGAACCAATAGGTAGGAGGGCGGCACTGAACAAGAGGGTGCCAAAAGGGAGAAAGGCGGCCTTCAAAATTTCACATGAGGGCTCAATAGGTAGGAGAGCGCCAATAATTATGAGGACGCCGATCAGCAGAAGGGCGGCAATGTGTAGCAGGGTGGCGACCTACAGGAGGGCGCCTTCGGGTGAGAGGGCGCTTATTTACAGGACAGCGGCTTACATAGGCGACCACCGTTACGCTTAGAGAGCTACAGCCTACAAATGTGGTTGGAGGGCGCCCGAGGGAGCCCTCCAACCGTATTTGGAGGGCGTATTTGGAATGGGCGTCCTCCGAGGGCGCCCTCCATCCGTATTTTCCCTGTAAACACATTCGCGATTGGAGGGCGCCCTCCAGTCGCGATTGTTTTTCGATTCGATTATATCACAATTGCATTTGCGATTGGAGGGCGCCTTCGGCGCCCTCCAATCGCAAAGGGCGCCTTCGGCGCCCAAGGGGGGGCCATGGCCCAGTGGCCCCCCCTGCCTACGCCCCTGGGCGTCGTGGTCCTCTCGTCAAGATGCATCGCATGAACTACAGTTGACACATTGACAGGTCAACTTGAAAAATTGACCTCAGGTCAAGGTCATGACCTGACCGGAAAGGTCATGTTGCAAAACAGTCCATTTGTACCGTCGAGCTGAACTCATACAAGAGTTACAAGACATTTCATCGCTCTCGGCTCTGGCATGCCTCTATCAAACGTTATTCGCGAAAAAAAACTGTTCTAAAGATAGCACATAGATACCATTCGTGACCTGATATGACCTCAGGGAGACAAGGACGGATCGCGGGTGTCATTTTCCAGTTAAGTGTGTCATGATTAGTTGTAATCCGGTGTTTGAGAATTGAGTGTTTAGAATAGCGATCGTCCAAAAAGGGCGCCTTTCAATTCCCCCCCCCCCCCCCATTGATTTATAATGAAGAGGGCAATATTGACCTGACCTTGGGTCACCGGCATCGAAATTCCGAGATATAGATTATTGTACATAACATACTGTTGCAGAATTGCTGAAAGTTTTAAAGCGTTAGCGATCGGTCACTCGGTGTAGCAATGGCAGGCATCGAAATTTTATGTGAGGACACTTTGACGTGACCTGGTGACCTGACCTTGAGTGACCTTGTAGTAAACTCCTTATGTCCACATTGCCGTTGTATTGCCAGCTGCCTCCGTCGCGCGCCGGCCCAGACTGGCCGGGGGTCGTACGTGACCCACCTTTTATTCAACAGGCTACGAAACGTCTAGAACACGCCCAAAACGAGTGCGAACTTGCACAGCAGCGACGAGGTGACGGAAGGCGCCAGCTTGGCGGCCTACGTGCCTTAAATGACATATCTTAAATTTACAATTGCGCTGCGCGTGCCGCCGGCCGTTTCCTCCCGGCCCCGCCCCGCACAATGCCATATAACTCATCCCGAGCCTGGACGGGGCGGCGGCGGCGCCGCAGTGGCACGACTGCGGCCACAAGATTCTAATACACTCCCCCCTGATCTACAAATCATCGTACTGGGTCAGAACGGCAGGGCGTCTCTCCCGCATGCCGCGGCGTAGAACTTCAGCGTACGTCACAGGGGGCACATTTTCCCCGTGGCTTTCGTGCGCACACTCTCGCAAGATAATTGGGCCAGAGTCGTCATTGTCATTGTTCGGCGGCTCAGTCTGGTCACTCTCCGGACTGGGAACGAAAGCCAGTCTCAGATCTCTCACGTGACGGGGGACATTGTCTACTTCCACACACTGCGCCGACACTTGTCGGGTGACTGTTCCTATGGAACTTGGCACATCACACCGGCGACTAGGGTCTCTGATCCATACCTTATCGCAGTGGCGGCGGAAGGTATTTTGGGATGGGGGGGGGCACACCTGATCCTTCCCGGAACCTAGGGTACCCCCAAATCTAGTTTTCTCACCGGTTTTAGGCCACTTATTTTTCACCTCTTGGCCTTTACAACAAAAATAAAAAATAAAACATTTGCAAATAAGTGAGATAATTAGTCTCATCTGAGTCAAGAAACTACCTTTTTGGTAACCTGGAAGAAACGTTTAAAGCTTCCACACATGAGCTGTCAAGTCAGGTACGGGGACCCGCAGTTGCTACTGTACAGCGACCCTGAGTAAATTGTCCCAGCACCCTCACAGGGAACAACGATAAGCTGTCAGAGGGCACGCACAGAAAACCTCAGCTGCTCTTGTGCAGGGACCGGCAGTCGATATCAATGTTATCGGTTGTTACTGGACAGGACAGACGGCTAGAGTTGGGGTTCGTGTACAATAGCAACTGCGGGTCCCCGTACAGAGGGGGATTTTTTTACTTAAATAGGTATTGTCTTCCATTCAGCTTTTCTTTGAGGCCCTCGGCCGCTAATATGGGGAGGACAAGCTGCCCCGACGGTTCCTGGCCCTTTGAAACTTTGCGGGGGCAGAGACCCCCACGGCCCCAGAGTTGTGGGGGCAGGCTGCCCCCATGCTGCCCCCCGGCTCACGCGCCTATGCCGGCTGGCGTCTGGCAGAGTCGCGGGGAAAGGCCTGTGGCACGCTCAGACGCACTTTCGTGACGTCCGTGCCGCCTGCCGGGCCACTCGCGTTCCGTCCTACTCTTCCAGACTTCGGTTACCGGTAGCTCGTAGATAGCTCTGCTTGATTTCTGAGCATTATGTGTGGAGGGCGTTTGGTGGAAATAGTCCGTCACGGACTAGCTCGCCGGATAGCCCGTCGTGAAAACGGCTATTATCAATCCAAGTTACTCGCTATATCAACTTAATAAAAAGGTACTCAGCCAAACTGGCATATGTTCCTGACGTAGGTAGTATGGAAGTATTGTGGTACTTCGTCGATAACAATTTTGGGGGGGGGGCAAAAAGATATGTTTGCCCCCCCACCCTGGAAGATGGGGGGGCGCCGTGCCCCCGCTGCCCCCCCGCTTCCGCCGCCACTGCCTTATCGCCTACACTGAACATAGCACACTCACTCTCTTCGCACTTTTCCTCACTCTCCACGTCCGGCACTCTCAGTTTGTAGTTGAACAGTACGTTGGCAGGACTAGAGTTCAGGTCATCATTGCGCGGCATCACATTATAGCGGTAGACTGCTTCCGCCACTGAGCAGCCTTTGCGCGCTATGATTGTTTTGACCGACCTATGGTTTCTCTCAGAGACACCATTGCCGAACGGCGCATGGGCAGCTCGGTACCGGACGCTGACACCCCACCGGCTGACGAACTCGTGGAATGCGGCACTGCGGAATGAGGTGAAGTTGTCCGTCAGCAGCTCCCTCGGAGCGCCGCGCTCCAGGAATACCGACTCCAGAGCCGTGATGATGCTGTCGGTGTCCTGTCGCTTTATCCGCCGCCAGATCGCGTACCGAGACGGACCGCAGTCAATCAGAGTCAGGTACAGCTGATCGTTTACGTGACAGACGTCCATGCTGACCCTGTCCCAGCATTTAGTCACGCTCAGCGAACCATGTGTCCACCGCTGGGGCGCTGGATCGATGGACTGGCACCTTTCGCACTGGCTAACGACACTGCGCACCTGGTGCTTGCTCACAGCCGGGTCGTGCTCCCTACACAGGCGCAGCGTTCTCCCGATGCCTGGGTGTCCGCTTGTTTCATGGATCCTGACCACATCCGGCGCCGAGAAGGCAGCGCCGCAGACCACAGGATCGCTTTGTTGGTTCAGCCACTTCTTCGGCACTCTCGTCAGTGCGTCAGCCCTGTTGTCCACTGACGGAACGCACTTCACGGTCAGCTGGAGGCCGTACTCATCTCTCAGACTCTTCACGGTCTCCAGGCGCCTTCTAATCAGCATTTCACTCGCCGCCTTCGTCTTTATCCGAGCTCTGCCGGAGAGCGCATCTGTTAGCCAGTGATAGACCGTTTTCGAGTCCGTCACGACAGTCACTTTCTTCAGGTTCCATGCCAGGGACAGATTGATGCCACGCACAACAGAGTCCAGTTCTGCAAGGTTCACGTGTGTCTCGGGATTTTTCCGAAGCCAGCAGGCGTCCTCAACGATGCTGCCTTCCATCTCTAGCACGGCTCCTATGGCGAGGGAGCTGGCATCCACCCACACGACTCCCTCATCGCCGGTGACATCCCAGCGACCTCGTGCGGGATCGGCCGTTTTCACGCGCTGCAGCGTTTCCATGACCATTTTCTGGAGTTCTGGGTCGGTGATCTCGTCATCCCAGCCGTCTGTCGCTGCAGTGGCGCGTCTTTTCAGGTAGGATGCGGAGACACGCAGCCAGCCACACACCGGGACCTGACTTGTCAGACGTCCGCACAGCGAGAAGACCTCTCTCCTCGTCAGCTTTGGCGGCGGCTGTAGATCCTGGCTGTCCCGCTTCCAGAACAGTCCTTGCCGCTCCCCCCAGACTCGAATGCCCAGGACACGAGCACCTTCTGACACCTTCTCCGGGGATTTGCAGGTCAGACCGAGCGCCTCCAGATGACCCTTCACCTCCAATGCAGTAGCGATGTTTTCATTTACGAGTATGTCGTCCACGTAAGGTGATGTAGCGGTGTGCACCCTCTGGTCACGTTTCAGGGCCATTTCCAGCACCTTTCTCATCACCATCGGTGCGAGACTGAGCCCAAAGCCAAGTCTGCTCAGACACCACCGTCTGCCCTGGAACACTACAGTCTGATACGGCCACAGCGATGCGTGCACGTGGACCGTCAGCTTTGGCGGCGGCTGTAGATCCTGGTTGTCCCGCTTCCAGAACAGTCCTTGCCGCTCCCCCCAGACTCGAATGCCCAGGACACGAGCACCTTCTGACACCTTCTCCGGGGATTTGCAGGTCAGACCGAGCGCCTCCAGATGACCCTTCACCTCCAATGCAGTAGCGATGTTTTCATTTACGAGTATGTCGTCCACGTAAGGTGATGTAGCGGTGTGCACCCTCTGGTCACGTTTCAGGGCCATTTCCAGCACCTTTCTCATCACCATCGGTGCGAGACTGAGCCCAAAGCCAAGTCTGCTCAGACACCACCGTCTGCCCTGGAACACTACAGTCTGATACGGCCACAGCGATGCGTGCACGTGGATCTGCAGGTAAGCGTCTCGCAGATCTAGGAGAGACACGTTTCGTCCACACCGACGCCACTCACGGATTTTTTCACTGCAAACATCCGCGTCAGCTGTATGCGGGTCCAGGTGCGTATTTAACTCCCTGAAATCCATGACGGGACGCACTTTGTCCTTCTTCGGTTGGATGACCGCCATGAGCGGGATCGTGCCTTTGACCCTCCCGTGCACGCTCTCATCATAAGGGACGAGCCATTGATTCGCCACCCACTTGGAGAGTTCTCGCTCGTATTCGTGTCGGGCTTCTGTTGGAATCGCGTACTCCTCTGCTGTATTGTGCAGCTGCTCGGGCTCCTTTCCTCCACACCATTTCCACTCCACCGACCACTTCTTTTCTGTCTCATCAAAGCTCACCACAAAGTCCTTCTCGTCGGCTCGATTAGCCGGTGCGGCCGCCGCCGCCGCACCCAACACCGGATCCCCCTTACTGCTGTCAGCTCGATTCACTGCTGCAGCTGCCGCCGCTGCACCTGACGCTGGGGCCGCCTCACTGCTCGCCTGATCATGACTCACCCGTGCAGTCGCTGCCACTGCACGCGACACCCCAGTCCTCTCACCATCACAGCTGACCCGGTCACCGGGTGAGGCCACTGACGCCGCTATATGAGACACCGCTGCCTCAACTCCGAATCTGACTCGGTCATCCGAACTCACTGTAGCGCCACCCAGTGCTCTGATACCATTCATCCCGAGGATGAACTCAAACCCCAGTGGCTTACGTGCTACGACGAGCACATCTACGGACACTGATTCACCGGACCGCAGCTGCACGCGTGCCACGCCTGACCCCTCACACCAATAACGCCCTCCACTCACTGTCATCACGCTCACCGGGCGTCGGTTCCACCTCCGACAAACTGACACGTGAGCTACACACTGGCTGCATCCTGTATCAACCAGCGCTTTGCAGCTCGCTCCGTCCACCGACAGCTGCGCGACTGGCAGCGCCCCGTTCACTGGTCGACAGGAGAGGAGGCTGGCGCTGATCTCTCCCCTCCCGCGTCGTTTTCCGGACACGCAGAGGCGATGTGCCCCTGCCGGTTGCAGTTGTAGCACCTCACGAGGCTCCGTCCACCACGGGGGCCTCCACGGCCCCGCTGTCCGCGGCCTGCCGTGCAGTCGCGGGCGATATGGTTCGGTTGCCCGCACGAGTAGCATTTCATTGTGGCCGGGAGTGCTCCAGTCCTTGTGCCAGCGGCGGCGGCCACGGTGTTTGTTTCCTCGTCGGCTAGCACGGCCCGAGCGCGACCGATTAGCTGGCTAAACGGCATGTCCTCCATCCGTGATCCATCCCGGAGCGCACGGCGTGCTGAATCTGGCAGTTTGGCCACGAAGGCACAGGCCAGGCTGTCGTCCGGCATACCTCCGAACAAGCCAGCCAGCCGGCGCAGCTCAGAGACGAACAAGTCCACCGTCTCACCTGGACGCAGCCTTCTACGTTCAAATTGGTCGTAGGCTTCAAACCGATCCGAAGCAAACGCCGATGTCAGGGCCCTTTTGATGTCCTCGTACTTTTTCTTCTCATCTTCTCCGAGCTGTTGATATACCGCAAACGCACCACCAGTGAGTCTCAGCGGGACGACGACGTGCAGTCCCTTGATGCCGCGCAGCTGACACACAAGTTCGACCTTGTCCAGCCACTCGCACACGGGCTGCGACACACCGTCAAACTCCGGGATTAAGCGGAGATCAGCCGCAGCGTCCGAACCATTACAGGTCTCCTTCTCGTTCCCCATCACGGCAGTCTTCCAAGGCCGAAATAGCTTGTAGTAAACTCCTTATGTCCACATTGCCGTTGTATTGCCAGCTGCCTCCGTCGCGCGCCGGCCCAGACTGGCCGGGGGTCGTACGTGACCCACCTTTTATTCAACAGGTTACGAAACGTCTAGAACACGCCCAAAACGAGTGCGAACTTGCACAGCAGCGACGAGGTGACGGAAGGCGCCAGCTTGGCGGCCTACGTGCCTTAAATGACATATCTTAAATTTACAATTGCGCTGCGCGTGCCGCCGGCCGTTTCCTCCCGGCCCCGCCCCGCACAATGCCATATAACTCATCCCGAGCCTGGACGGACTGCGGCGGCGGCGCCGCAGTGGCACGACTGCGGCCACAAGATTCTAATACAGACCTTTGTCTACAATTTTCAGAACATGTGCAGAATAGATGTGCACCGACGTTTGTGAAATATTTGCGAAAAACTGCAGGTTCATTAGTCACCCAGCAGGGCGTGGATTAAAATTGATACCTAGGTACAGGGTTAACCCGCGCCCTGATGGGGGGAGGGGCCATTTTGCCCCCCCCTGTGGTTTTTCTTAAATAGCGAGAAAACGACGGCGTGCAGCGCCGCCAAATTTTGGGTACCTTACCGGGCATCAATTTGACACCTTCACACAAAATTTCAAGTCACAGGTCACCTCAGGTCAGGAGTTATTGAGGTCAAACTGAGGTCATGCTCGAGTAAAAATGAGCAAAAAACATGACATCTCGAAACGCTCACCAATTCTACAGTTAACAAACAATTTTAATGTTCCTTATGTGGTTGTGTAGAGAAAAGACGGCGCTACAAAACAGCTATCTCGGATTTTCGAAATTTAGGGATTTTGACCCCCAAAAATAAAAAATTGATTTTTTTTAGAAAAACTCAAAAAATTTCCAAAAAATTTCCGAATTTCGAAAAAACCGGAATATATGTAATAGATCCTGCGCTCTTCGATATACATACCAAATTTTAGATCAATACCTCTTTTTTGGCCAAGTTATAGCGAAAAACTGTTAAAAATTAATGACGTCAAATTTTTGAACTTAATTTTTAGCAATTCTAGACCTCGTACCGCAAAACGAAGACCACCATTGAACTCCCCGTGACGAGCTGCATCGAATCAATACCTATTTTATGCAAAAATATCAACTTTGAAATTTGACCTAATTTGACCTGACCTTGACCTGACCTTGACCTGACTTTGACTAAATCGTGACCTAAGCTGGCCCAAAAGTCTGCCTGACCCACATTATCGCATTTGTCATGTAAAATGGACCATAAAACATGTATCACACGACACTTTCATATTATGACCCCTCCCCCAGTGACCTGACCTCTGTGACCTGACCTGGTATCAGTGACCTCAAATAGCAAACTATGTGTTTGAAGAACATTTCCCCATCGATGATTTTCAATGAAATGCATTTTACTCGATTTTACAACGCATTTCTTGAAATGCCTGTAAACGGTGAAAATTCGACCTTTGACCTGACCTGTGACGTCATCGGTTTGACCGAGGTCAATGAAATTGGGTCACAAGGTAGTTCTCCGTTGGGGCTATCCAACGCCGTTTACCGCTTGTCGATATGTTGCGTGGTTCTCGAGATCTTAGGGGGGGGGGGGGCAAAATGCCCCCCCCCCCCCCATCAGACCGCGTTGCTCGGCAGACCCCATCAGGGCGCGGGTTAATGTCATTCTAAGCAAAAGCGTTTTCCGTAAAACGTCATTTTTTGGAGTTTGTAACCTCTTAGCTCTGGAGGCTGAAGCAAATTGACCGAAGGTCAAATTTGAGAACATTATTCAGAGAGCTTAGAGCATTAACTCTCGTATTTATATGGGATCGTCCTACTTGCGAAAGAATCGGTCGATCACGTCGCGACGAAGTCTTTCAGCAGGTATAGGCAGGTAGGTGCTCTCGAGTTTATTAATTTTAGACAGACTTACCCTGAATATTTCATGACTGACCCCGATGACCTATGACCTGCGACCTACATCCTATTTCCCGAGCCCATGTGAGCCTGCGGGATCGCGATTCGGCATAGGCATGTCGGCGTACATTATGGCCGCGCGTTTCCAGACTTTGTGGTTAGAAACATGCCAAATGTGAAATGCTGTTTGTCCCATGCATTTTGGTGATTGTAGAAGTCTCTAGAAGGTCAGGTCAGGGTCGTTGAACTTAGGTGACATGGGGTCACTTTTTCTAATTTTACTTGTTAGTGTAGTTTTTGGAGCTGATTTCGAATTTGGCACTCATTTGAATATTTGAGAAGCAGTGTTAGTGCCTATGCACTTATGCAGCATGTTACGGAGCCGTTGGGAGTTGGGACGCTTACTGGTTGGCCTGACCAGACCCGACCGACCCCAGATGCATGAATACCTACATTATCTTCGAGGACCCCCCTCCCCCCCCTATACGTTAGCGGCAGTGAAACCTAATTCGGGCGAGGGTGGTCTGAAGTCAATCAGCGACCTCTTAGTTCAGGTCAAATACCCGAACGTATGTAGGGTCTGATTAGTGATAGAATAGTTATCTTAAAATGGTCACGGTTATTTGATTAGGTATAGTATGTGTCCATTTTTAAGAGGACTGTCGGAAATGCTAAGGCTGAAAATGAATGCCCACTTTTACAGAAAAGATAAATGATGAAAATAAAACAAATAGAAACCCCATTATATTTTTTTTCAAAGAAAACACCAGAAAAGACGTCAAAATTGGCCATCAGTACACCAAAACAAGAGATAGGTATGTTTCTACACACGAGGAGAGCAATGCACAAATGCACACACACAGTCGGTTAGCTAGAGCCTAGAGGAATCTTCAAAAACATCGTCTATATCAAAGAAACGCTGCAAAGTTACGAGCATCTTCCCATAGAAGAAGTTATGCTTAAAGTCCAGCCCTGAGCGTCCTCACACCAGTTCCATGTGGTGCCCTCACGCCTCACTGTTTGTCCGGCTCACTCGCGGCCACTGCCGTCGACACGCTCTCCCGACTGGCGCCGCCGCCCGCGCCCGAGTCTCGCCGCAGTCCCGCCTCCACGGCACTCCTGAAGTAGCTCCTGCCGAAGCTGGAGACCACGGCGGCGAGGTCGGTGCGCTGCAGGGCCTCGCGGAGGACGCGCGGTGCCTCGGCCTCCAGCAGGCACGTCACCTGGTCCCGACAGCGCCAGGCGAACAGCTCGCTGACCACGGCGAGTAGCGAGGTGAAGGGGAACGGCGCGGCGCCGTCGGCCTCCTCCGGGTCACCGGGCCAGGCGGGCAGCACCCGGAACACGTCACCCGACTCGCTGATCGACAGCTCACTGCCGGCGGAGGGACGGGACGCTGAGGTGGGAACTGGGAGGAGCGGGGACCGGTGGCGGTCCGGCAAAACTTAGCGTAGAAGAGAAACAAACGGTCATCGGACAGACCCACCTGTCAGGTCTGGCCGTTACTAGACATCTTCACTCTTCAGTTATATGTGCTTGTAAAGACGTGAGTTAGTTGCGACTGCCCATGACCGATTCGTTTATGAATAATATGAGCATAATTCGTCACCCAACTTGGACCAACAAACGATGCTTCCCTACGATTATCAACTACCCAATAAGTTGCTTGTACCCCAGGTCCTCCACTCGCACCAGTTATTAGTGTTTCATTCAGCCGCTTGAAGTACTTACAACTCTCAGCCGGTTATAAAACCGTTCAGCCGGTCATTTCCTTTAGATTCTACCGGAATACGTACCCAAGATGGACGATCTCGCAGGTGCAGACGATGACCTGCGTGGTGGCCGTGTTGATACGCGCCTTCGTCTTGATCGTGGCCGAGTCGAGCTGACCTCTGAGCTCGAACCGGGGTCCGATGTCGAGCAGTTTGGCAGAGCAGACGGAGCGGCACTGAGAGAGCGAGGGAGAGGAGGAGGGTCACTGATACCCGAGCGGCTGCGCGGATCAGCCCAGGACACCGGCCGATCGGTTTATTATCCCCCGACCCTATTCAGTGTCACAAGTGCACTTGGTTGGCCGATATATTGGCGAAGTTTCGTGCCTCAGTAAATTCGAGGAAACCGTGATTGCGAAAACGGATTTTGCTTGTACTTTTTCTCACAACATTGCAAATGTTGCGTGTTAACCCGCATCGAATTGGCTATGTAGGTAACAACTTCCCTAAAGGTCAACTCAGTGAAGGTCTACTGTGATTATCATTCGCCTGTACCAGCTTGACTGTGAGGGTCATTCACCTGCATAAAGTGGACTGTGAAGGTCATTCACCTGTATCAGTTCGAACTTCGACTGCTGAAGGTCACCCACTTGCATTGGGTCGACTGTGAACTGTGAAGGCCAATCACCTGTGTCGGGTCGACTGTGAGCTGTGAAGGTCATTCACCTGTATGAGGTCGACTGTGAGCGCCGTCTGCAGCGTGAGCCAGTCTCCGTCCAGCTCCAATATGGCGTCTCCCTGTCGCCGCAGGGACTCCAGGCCCGAGACGGACGTCGCCCGGAACGCCAGAGACGCCGTGAATCGGAAAAACAGAAACTGAAACCGACCGGGCGACCGCCAACGGCAGTCAAGTCAGTGATGGGGACTGGGGAGTGGACGTGGGTATCGCTTCATTTGCGGAAAAGAAGAAAAATGTAGTGGAAAGCACACTGTAAAGCGGTAGGTAAGCATACTTTTGCTATTTTGTCTTATGTGAAAAGAACATTGACAATCAACACCTACCCTACTAGTTATGCGGCCATTGGTGTTATTGTGCAGGTTGTGATAAACGTGCACTATTATTTATGAGAAAATACCCCCAACATCTGACCTTTCAGCTACATTAGGTATCCATTCCTCACCGAGTCATGGTAGAGAGTCTCCTGGTCGTCCAGTTTGAGGACGTCGAGTCCCTCGGCGCAGACCAGCTCCCTGGCCAGTTGGGCCGCCGTATCGGCCAGACCATTCGCCTCGTCTGTGCTGATCCTGCCCACACTGCTCCGCACGTGCCTCCTGGGAAACACGGGTCAGGTCGGAGGAGTCGACTGATGAATTAACGGGGGAGGGGTGAACTCGTGCAGTATTGTATTGTATTAAACATCCGTAGAGCATCCGCGATAACCGAGGCTAAATTGCTCAGTGTCAAACACATGCATAAAACCAAAACGAGTGGGGAGGTAGAACAAGCATTCAAAACATGCACACGAGCATCCGCGCTTAGCCCATCACATCTGCGCCGCCACCCCGTGCCAGGTGGCGCTTCACTCCTCCGCAGAACGGTCCAACCGGTCGTTCGGTCAGGGCCGGGGGGAGCGCGTTGTAAGCCACCGCGGCGCGGTATGCGAAGCGCCTTTGACCGCACGCCGTCCTATATTCAGCGGGGTGCGCGGAGCGCCTCGTCCTGCCGCGTCCGTCGGTCACGCACATCACGACAACGGCGAAACATACCCGCCAGCTCCTCGGGCTCGCCATGCCTCTGGACTTTGTGGGCCAACATCAGGGTATGATATCGGACCAGATCAGGTGCAGATAACCACCCCAGCTCCCTCTGCACGTCAGATATGTGGTCAAACTTTTTTCGCCCCGAGATAACCCTGGCTGAGAAATTTAGAACCTTTTGAATTCTGTCCATGTTTTTAAGGGTACCGTTTCCGTAAACAGATAAGCAGTATCTAACGTGAGAGAGAACCAGGGCGGAGACGAGAGTCGACAGTTCAGATTCGGGTAGATAATCGACCTGTCATCGACCTGCTCAGCTGACTCACAGCCATCGACGAGAGGTCAATGTTATTACAGATGTATCGCGCCATACAGAGGTCAGGAGTGGCATGCCTAGTGATCAGGGACCACATAAGACGAGAAATCAGGGATAACATAGAGGTCACACAACTCAAAAGCTACATTAGTTCACACTTAACGGATCATATGGGTAAGAGGTTGCATGATCAAGGTCAAATATAGGAGAGGTCAAGTCTAAGTCAGAGGTCAAACAGAGGTCACAGATCATACCGGGGCTGGGGCTCACAGAACTCAACACTCACATAAGGTGCGAGGTCACTCAGAGGACAGAGGTCAAACAGAGGTCAGAGGTCACACTGAGGTCGGAGGTTACAGAGGTCAGAGGTCACACAGAGGACAGAGATCACATAGAGGTCAGAGGTCATGCATAGGTCAGAGGTCACACAGAGGACAGAGGTCAGATAAAGGTCATAAGCGGCATGATCAAGGTCATATGTAGGTCAGAGGCCAGTTTAAAGCCTTAGAGAACAAACAGATCGTAAGTCATATAGCGGTCGGAGGTCATAAAGCCAAATGTCAAAAGGCACATAGGGGTCAGCGATCAGAGGTCACACAGTCATAGGTACTGGGATAGAACGTCATTTTTCGATACAATTGGTGCCGAGATTGAGTTGTTACGGCCCAAAAGATGATTGTAAAGTTTGGAGCTTGCATCGTCTCTGACGTGCAAACCACTGATTTTGAATGCAACAGTATGCAATCGTTCGAGCGTTGACGTCAGCGCCATATCACTGCGAGCGCGGTTTTATGGGACGGCTAGGGCAGCGGAACACTTGGGGCGGCTCGGCGCAAACACAGCTCCACGGTATAGAGAACTCACAGCTGGATGTCACTCTCACTGAAGACGGGCGCCTGAGAGGTTCGGAATAATCGGTCGACGGTCAATAACCACTAAGAAGTCGACACAATTAGCAGTGAAACACCCAAGTATTCTGCAGCGTTATCAGCTTGATGTTTTTGTTTATAAGCATTTCGAATGATGTTACAGGTACGAGTATAGTTGGAAATCTCAGGAAATCAGAACTGCTGAGAAAAAGTGTGAGAGCCATTTTTCACATCAAACTGGCGAAGTAAGTACAGAAACCGCACCTCCGACCATAGTCATTACAACTCTCAACAAGAAACATGTTGCTTTTTTCTAGATAAACCTCCCGATCACAAGGTTTACTCACCGCAGTATCCAGGAGAGCCACTTTTTGGTGACCGAGTCTTCCAGGTTATCGACGCCGTCCTTGAGCAGGTTGGAGAGGCTGCCGCGGCTGCCGATGCTGCTCGTGCTGCCGAACTCCTTCTTCTTCTGCAGGGCCATGTTGCGACTCTAACCACCCTTCCTTGAAAGGAACACTGGCGAGTCTCACAGCACCCAAGTACCGTCCTCTACAGACCAGCCGCTCGGCGCTGAGCGATCGTCTCCATGCCTGCTGCTGATCCTAGCTCCCCTGTGTGCCCCACTGCCCGCCCCGCCGCCCCGGTCGGCTTTCAGTCAGTGTCAGCACGCGTGTCCGTACCGGTGGGACCCCCCGCGGGGAGCGGCGGCACCTGTCCGCGCCCCCACAGCTGCGCCGGCGGCGGCTCGAGCGACCCGACCCTGTGAGGCGTGACGCACACCCACCGCTCGGCGGAGCGCAGAGAAGGGTTCGGGTCGGCGAGGTACGGCCCATGATCACAACGCTTCACAGAGTGACAGGTTGAGGGTACGGATAGACAGATCTATCCTGGAAACTATGCAAGTGGAAAACCAAGCCAAGTACCCCGTGCTCCGGCACACTGAATAAGCGAGTCGTGAGTATTCAAAGTTCTGCCGTTTTTAATTAGTCATTCCGCGGGCAGATCACCTGGCCATGTGCGGTTTACGGTTCCAGGAAAGGGGCCGCTGAGAGCGCGGCGGCGCTGCAGCCACGGCAAACGACCGATAAACCGGACCCAGTTCCGTTTATTGAACGCCGGGAACAATGAACGTGTTTCTGTGAGGGAAGACACCAACAGCCATGCAAACTGCAACTCACACCGTCCATCCAATCAGCATGCAACAACGCCACAGTCATGCAGTTATAAATACACACGCACACGAGATATGAACCAAAAGGTCGCCGGCGGACGGGGACAAGGACGCTCTCTGGACTAACGCACAAACACTGGACATGCACCTCCGGGCTGACCTACCGTACAGGCATGCAAAACGGTATAGACTATAGACTATAGAGAGCATGCAAACGCGAGGAGACGACGGCGGCCGAGGGCCAACAATAAATAACACGGGCACGCGGCGGCGATCGTAACAAAACGCGAACGAGACAATCGTGGTACCGTTGGCAGAACGCTGATTGTCGAACATCTGACTAGTCGGGCTCAGGAGGGACTGACTGTCGACCTCCGACTTTCCCCCACCCACCCACTCCCAGTCCCCAGCATGCAACTCACTAAAAATAAAATGGAAATAATGACCATGCGTCGACTCACAGAGAAATGAAAACTAACCGATACGCAACGGTGATTAAAACACTGAACGACAGAGGCTCGCAAGTAGCGCCATGGGACTACCCAGATGACGCTATACTGCGGTGCAGTTAAGACAATCTACATCAGCGACCGCAATGATAGACTCCAAGTTCTCATAGCAAGTCCAGTCTGTCTCAGTTTGCAAGTAATGTTAGACTATGCTGTTTTTGTGCCAACCACACATCACTTAACATTAACACAAAACTACACTTTTTCACTCAAATTACACTCACACCACATGAACATTGAACATCGCTCTGAGCTCATACAGCTCGGTCCCTGAGCCGGCTGAGCTGCTCCCTCAAGCTCCACTCCGGTCTGAGCTGTCCCTCTCATCTCCGGTCTCTCGCTCTCAGTGGCTCCCCACGATGCCGTCTCAGGCCGGCGGCGGGCGGACGGCGGCGGCCACCGAGACAGGCGTCTCGGAGCCGCGCAGGTACTCGAGCAGGTGGGTGGCCGTGCCGCCGCCCTCCACCATCAGCGACACCGGGTTGCCCTGGTCGTCGACCAGCAGGCCGTCGGCGTTCATGGTCAGCGTCTGCGCGTCGGCCGGCGCCGAGTTGCCCAGCACGCGCGACAGGTCGATCTCCTCCTCACCCTCCTGCTGGATCACGATGATCTGCTGGCGCTGCGGCTCGCCGACCGGCGCACCGCTCAGCGGCGGCGGCGGCGGCGGCGAGGCGGCCACGTGCACCAGGTGGCCGCGCTTCCCCGGGGAGAGGTGCATCAGTGTCTTGCCGGAGTCATCTCCCGGCGGCGGCGGGGTCTTCAGCTGCGGGCGCGGCTCCAGCGGCGGCGGCGGCGGCTGCATCTGCAGCAGGGGCGGCGGCGGCGCTAGCGGCGGCTGCGGGCGGTGCTGGGCGGCCGGCCGCGGCGCCGGGCCGCTGCTGCCGGCCGCCGGCGCGGCGCCCTGCTCCCCGGCGGCGGCGGCGCGGGCCGGCTGTCGGCGCCTGGCCGCGCTGCCGCCCAGGTAGGTGGAGCCGTCGGCCTCCGAGGCGTCCCACATGCCCTGGGCGGCCATTGCCTGCACCTTCACCCGCAGACTGTTCTGCAGGGCCGTCAGCTGCATCGTCGGGTCGTCCGCGTCCATGGCCGTGAAACTCTCCCCCTGAAACGGCAACATCCACACGACATACATCACAGGTGCACTCAGCTGAGGTTCGCTTGTCCGATCGAACATTTGTTCATAAGACTTCAAAGTGTGCATATACTATCGGTTTGCTCTACACGTCCCGGCCGAGGTGGGGCCGGGGAGTGAGGCGGGTACTTCATTTTGTTGGGTTAGGCCCTTTCGGTCTGACAAGACCATTTCAGAGCCGGGGATGATAGGAAATAGGAATTAGGGGGAGACATTGGGCTGGGCAGACACCCTTGAGAGTCGCCTGGGGTGAGCCCGTCCGAATGGACAGGCCGACCAGCCCCGCAAGCACTCTCTGCACCCGGCTACGGGGTGTGTTCCCTCGGAGCAGCGGTGCCGCTCCAAGGGAGCAGCCCGCATGAGATAAAGTTGCCTGTCCAGCCCGGAAAGGGGGTTGTGGCGTGGAGGAGAAGGATTTCAGTATCCTGAGGATAGAATCAAGGAACGGTGAATGAGACGGGTACTAACTACCTCCCTCGCCGTTTTGCCCCTAAACGAGCATGTGCCCCGTTACGAGACGCAGCGACTGGAACCCGATGGGTCAGGTCACGAGCTCCATGAAGGTATGGTTCACTTTTTGGTACATAACTTCGCCAAATATGGTATCAGAACCGAGGTTAATTTGCCACCATCGTATTCTTCATGCTCAGGCGCGTCGAATGATATATGTACTTTTGATTTGGATAAGGTCACCTTAGGGTGCTGACCTCAGGTCAAGGTCAGGTCAGAGCCACTCAGGTTACGAAGCTGGTGGAACCAGGTCATATCGCACATCATTCGATTCGGCAGGTCTTACAGAGTCCATCGCTGGATTTCTCGACTCACAAGCCCAATTTGATCAGGAATAATGACGAAAAACTCTTATAGCCTTTGTGACGACATAAATGAGGTCACGCATACAAGTCTTGGTCACGCAAAGTAAACGATGCAAAAGTGAAACATCGGACCTTGCAAGGTAAGCATGAAATCACGATTACATCTGCTTGAAGAAGGTTTAGATCCTTTCCGGCGCCAAAATAATAGAGTCTATATTTCCCCTCGTTGACTTATAATGGTGAGGCCAGGTGACCGACCTGACCTTAGGTGACCTTAGGTGTAAAACATCCGAGATATACAAGTTGTGAGACTAGCTCCAGAAATACTACGCCCTGTAAGTTTCATCTCCTTGTGAACGTTCCTGTGGCACTGAGGGCGCTAAGAATTAAGTTGTGACATTTTGTAGGACCGTGCAGAGGTGCACTTATGCCGTCATAGGTCACTGACCTGACCTGACCTGAAAATGCAATTGGTGTCACTGTCACGAGATCTGGCCTGAATGAAAGGTCAGCTGTGCCAAATTTCAGCGCTCTTTCTCCAGCGTGTTTCGAGCTATCGCGAAAAACCACATGGGGGGGGGGAGAGGTGCGTGCCTCCCCCTCTCCGCCGGCGAGGGTTAAGTATTTTGCAAATCGCATCACGATGGTCGCATTAGAGCTGCCACCCCGTCAAAAGTTGCCGTGCGCGTTATTGAATGCGTAATAGTCTGTGCCATCCGACCGCCGCGCCGCGCCGCGCCGCGCTAGCCAGCGGACTTGATGCTCATCCCTGCCGCTAGATGGCAGTGAAATCGAGCGCCTGAATCTAGGCTGTGCCGCATAATGCCCATTGCGCTCCATGTCGACCCGCGGGAGCCGCATGCGCGAGCGACCCTCCGAAAAGCTTTCGTAATAACACCACGTAGTTTTCTCACTACTGTCCTTTTTCGCCTGCGATGTGCAAATTTTATCATTAGATAACCTGACTCCAGGTTCTTGCCATTGTTTGTGAGGTCTATGTATGTACGTTGTTCGAGACAAACGTTTACCACAGCCGCGGTAGCGATTAGCCTGATAGCTACTGCTTATTCAATCTTTACCAGAAGTGGGTAACAATTCATTTTTACTGATTTCGAACGACCCATCAATAATTGCCATTATGAAACCCGACTGCAGAGCAACTGAGAAGAGGTGACTTTTAAATACCATCCGGACCAGTTCTGAAGTAGAAAACCACAGGAACTTGAGGCCCCGGAAAGTTTCTATTGCCGTCAGTAGAGAGTGACTGGCGATGTTTTCTGCGGTTGTCGAACGTGAAGTTCCGTCACACGTCTGGAGATAATTCATCCCCTACATTCCACCCCATCAAAAGCTGAAATATTTCACCGCGAATTGGCATTCAAATGCACGTCCATGTCCCACCATTCTTCCAAACCACCCCTCCCCGCGCGCCCGGCAGCCCGCCGTCTCCCCACCCACCTCTGGTGCCGGTGCCGGTCCGGCGGCCGCCTCCGGATGGTCCACGGACAGGTTGGTCAGGTCGAACAGATCCTGCACCTCCGGCTCCGGCCGAATATTGTGCACACGCACCATGTGGTTGTACGCCGGCGTCGGGCGCACGAACCGCGCGTGACAGATGCTGCACTCGAACTTGCGCATCGGAGGCTTGCGGAGGGACGGCAGGTCGATGCTGTGCATCTGAGGATCGAGAGGAGAGGGTTGGAACGGGAACGTCGGGCGATGGGGTTGGACAACATAACGTCGGGCAATGGGGTCGGACAGGTATCAACTCGTATCGAACATAACGGGATAGTGGATTTTCATGCACTGTGGCGTAGGTAGATGGATGTCGTACGTAAATATCGCAGCTGACGTATCACCTCACTGCACTCATCATCAAGGTGTATTCATTGCAACATCGACAAGGCAACAACTGACAACGAAATGAATTATTCTAAACCTGCCCAAAAGGACCAACCATAAAACGCATGGGCATGGCTTAAGTCAGCAGTGGCTGCCGGTCCCCATAAGTCGTCAATACCCGTCATGGACTACGACTATTCGGCCACCATCCTTATATTATGCACCTTGAACATGTGGTTTTTGAGTGAGAATCTCAGTTTGAACTGTCTGGAGCAGATGGTGCAGGCGTGCGAGCTATTGTCGATGTCCGTGTACCGGTGGCCGATGATGTGGACCTGCAGCCGCTTCTCGTCCGAGGCGAACCTGCCGGAGCGAGCGGCGGGGTTAAAAGACCGGGTCATCGGAGGTAGACGCGGCACAGCTGGACTGGACACCACGGCGGGTCGGTACGACAGCGGACATCGGGACAAAGAACGTAACGCGGCAGTCAAGTGGCGGCGGAACACCTTCAATTAGAGGTATTCGGAGGCGGAATACCCCCCTTAATTGAAGGTATTCCACCGCTACTGGGGGGCACGGTGCCCTGGTGCCCCCCCCCCCCCTCCCGTTCCGCCGCGTATGTAACGCGGAGGAGAGAGGAAAGTAGGAATTACGGACAGGTATTGGTAGCTTCGTTTGACAAGGAGAAGGCAAAATATCCGGCTCACCTATCGATCGATCGGTATCTATCGATACAATGACTGCGCAGGATTACACCAAGCCGACAAAATATCAACTGTACAGCAGCTTGTCCGTCATTTATTCATGCCTACCCGACAGTTACATTATTTTCGCGCACTCTACCACCAACACCGACCTGAAGCAGATCTTGCACTGGTACTTGGTGGCGTGCAGGGTCTTGTGGCCCTCGAAGAGCGACCTTTTGTTGAAGATCTTTGGGCAGAGCTGGCAGCGCCACATGATCTCGCCGCGCCGGTGCCGCTCGTCCTGGTGATCCTCGTACACCTGCTTGTTGTCGAACACCTGACGGAGGAGGTCAGAGGGGAGTCACAGCTGTCACCGAGTCATCAATAAACGGGCCTTCTTGGCTTTCGTGAGTCAGGAGAATAAACTTCACGCGATACAACCTTTAACTATCAACTTTTAACTTTAACTATCGCTGACAAACCCGATGTACTGCGCTCCTGGTTTGTACATAACCATGAGCATGTGTGCCGTCAAACGAGGCAATCTCGCCATATCACACTGCCCAAGTCTAGCAACAATCACGGGAAACGCCGATTTGTGTACCGGGCTGTCGACCTGTACAACCGAATGGTGATCGCCAGGGACAGAGATCACATGTCACTGCGCAGCATCAAGGCATCTATCCGTGATGACCTAACCAGCCATTGAACACAACGGTCGTGTATTTTGTGTCATATTAGGTCCACTGTATTGATCGGTCTTATTAGGTGTCTTTTATGAAGTGTTCATTGTGTGCTCATATTACATTGTATATGACGAAGGTCGCAGAATAGCCCTGCACCAGTGGAGCGACCTTATTCGGTAAATACATACATACATACATACATACATCAAAAAATTAGAAGCGGACGCAAGCACACATCACTCTGCTATACTTCGACCTCAGCCAAAAGTCAAGTTTCCAAGCCCTTAATGATGCCAACTAAATTAAGTTAAACACATCAAATATGAATCAAGTATGACACGACCAGCGCTACCCCGTCCGGGCCTCCACACACCCCAGTAGCCCCGCGACTGACCCGTTTGCAGGGGTGGCACACGTAGGCCTCCTGGTCGCGGTGCGCCGGGATCACGTGGTTCAGGTACTCGTCCTTATCAGCGAACGTCTTGGTGCACAGGTCGCACGGCGGGATGCCGTCCATCTCGTTCACCCGCATCAGCAGCAGCTCGCAGTGGTTCGGCTTTGGGTCCGACTTGACTGCAGTGTCGGCGGAAGGGAAGGGTCAGGGATGGATGGCAGGCAAGACTCGTGGTAAACTGGACTTTAGAGAAGCGGACACGAAACGCCTCCATTTCAGTCACAGACGGTATAAACAAGATCAAACACCGGTGAGTTGGAGTTGGTCCACGAAGTTAGCAAAGTTTGCAATTAGCTTACGTAATTTGCGGTGGAAAGTCCGTAAACAAGACGTGCCCGTCTCCCAGGATTCAGGGGGACTTTTCAGAAATCTAATTATCAATATTTTTTGCCTAAGGTTTATGTCCAGACATCATAAACTTAAAATCCAGGTAAACTGTTTCATCATTTGTGCAAACGGGTCACTGCATGACAACTTGAGCTTCGTTCAGAAAATCTTCCAATGGTACTTAAGGGAATCTTTACCTTATTTCTCTTAACTCACTTCACTTCCACATCCCGCCGCTACCCTGGCTATCTCCCCATTCCCCGGTCCCGCCCGCGTCGCTCACCGATCGGGTAGTCGAGCTTCTTGGGCTGTTTCTTGTGCACGTTACGCAGGTGGACGTTGAGGTCAGAGTGGGCGCGGAACGACTTGGTGCACCGCGGCTCGCCGCACTTGAACGGCCGCTCGCCCGTGTGCAGCATCACGTGCTTCACCAGCTTCTCCTTCCTGGTGGTGGTGAGGTCAGACGGATTCAGGGAGCATGTCTTCATATCACATCGCATCAGTTCATACCGTTTTACCAGCTTTTCTTTCCTGAACATCGTTAGCGCAGACATGATAAAAGGCGTGGAGGTTAAATGACCGATGCGTCACCAACAGTAGTTAGACACGGACAGAAGTCAAGCAGCACGTCGCTATACTAGTTGCATGAGGCTGGACATATTTTATCGAAACAAGAAACCACGATAAGACTCAAAAGCGCACCCACACGGCTTAACAGCGAGGAGCGAGCCCCATCCCGACGTCCGGTCTCACCATCTGAACTCGCGGTCGCAGAGGTGGCACTTGTGCAGCATCGCCTGCGAGTGGACCACCATGTGCTTCCGCAGCTTCAGCTTTTTGGCGAAGCCGCGGTGGCACACCTTGCACTCCCACTTCCGCTCACCGCTGCCGGATACGCGTCAACAGGGAACGATTAGGCCATACTACCATCATGACTAACAACCAGGGGCGGATCCAGGAAAACTCCAAGGGGAGGGTCATGAATCGAAGTGGTGCCCCTACCTATACCCAAAATTAAAAACTCAACGGATTTCGTCCACTTTATTTTGGTGGTGCCCCCATTTTCAGTTTTTTTTTCTTTTTAATTTTTATTTTTAGTCAGTATCTTAACTTTTGCCACAACCACATTTACCAATTGTAAGCAAGTATATATGAATGTGCTATGTGTATATATGTTGTGGACGCTGATTAGTGAGTACTTACCAGGAACGTTATCAGGTAAGCAAATCGTTGTCAGTCCGACGAACTTGACCCTGGCGTCTAAAGGGTCTGTCCTTGACACTTCAGGCTTGTCAGGGGCACCAAAGTCCTTCCAGGGACACCACAAACCTGTCAGGGGCACCTACGGCCTTGTAGGGGCGCCACAGGCCCGCCAGGAAGCAGGGGCACCACAGGTCTAGCAAGTATACACGACAGGCCTGTCAGGGGCACAACGGGCCTGTTGGGCCCATGAGCACCCCTAGGGGCAGGGGCACCACAGTCCTTCCAGGGGCACCGCAGGCCTGTGAGGGGCACCAGCGGCCTAGCAGGGGCACCAGTCAACACAGGCCTGCCAGGGGCACCACAGACCTGCCAGGGGCACCAGAGGCCTGCCAGGAGCACCACCGACCTTGCAGGGGTAACTTGGGCCTGTCAGGGGCACCACGGGCCTGTCGAGAGGCACTTCAGGCTTTTCAGGGGCACCATAGTCCTCGGCCGGGCGCAGGGGTAGCAGGGGCACCAGAGGCCTGCCAGGGGCACTACAGGCCTAGCAAGGGCACCACTGGTCTATCAGGGGCACCACGAGCCTGTCATAGCCAGGCATCTCAGGCTTGTCAAGGCCCAGGGGCACCACAGGTCTGTGAGGGGCACCAGCGACCTAGCAGGGGCACCAGTCAACACAGGTCTGCCAGGGGCGCCACAGACCTGCCAGGGGCACCACAGACCTGCCAGGGGCACCAGAGGTCTGCCAGGGGCACCACCGGCCTTGCAGGGGCACCTTGGGCCTGTCAGGGGCACCACGGGCCTGTCGAGAGGCACTTCAGGCTTTTCAGGGGCACCATAGTCCTCGGCCGGGCGCAGGGGTAGCAGGGGCACCAGAGGCCTGCCAGGGGCACTACAGGCCTAGCAAGGGCACCACTGGTCTATCAGGGGCACCACGAGCCTGTCATAGCCAGGCATCTCAGGCTTGTCAAGGCCCAGGGGCACCACAGGTCTGTGAGGGGCACCAGCGACCTAGCAGGGGCACCAGTCAACACAGGTCTGCCAGGGGCGCCACAGACCTGCCAGGGGCACCACAGACCTGCCAGGGGCACCAGAGGTCTGCCAGGGGCACCACCGGCCTTGCAGAGGCACCTTGGGCCTGTCAGGGGTACCACGGGCCTGCCGAGGGGCACTTCAGACTTTTCAGGGGCACCTTGGGCCTGTCAGGGGCACCACGGGCCTGCCGAGGGGCACTTCAGACTTTTCAGGGGCACCAGTCCTCTTAGGGCGCAGGGGTACCAGCGGCCTAGCAAGGGCACCAGAGGCCTGCCAGGGGCACCACAGGCCTAACAAGGGCACCACGGGCCTGTCAGGGGCACCTCAGGGTTGTCAGGGCCCAGGGACACCACAGTCCTTCCAAGGGCACCGCAAACCTGTCAGGGGCACCAGAGGCCTGCCAGGGGCACCACAGGCCTGCCAGGGGCACCACAGGCCCAGCAAGGCACCACTGGCCTGTCATGGCCGGGCACCTCAGGCTTGTCAGGGCCCAGGGGCACCACAGTCCTTCCAGGGGCATTACAAGCCTGTCAGGGGCACCAGAGGCCTAGCAAGGGCACCACAGGCCTACCATGGACACCACAGGCCTGCCAGGGGCACCACCGGCCTTGCAGGGGCGCCTCAGGCCTGTCAGGGGCACCACGTCCCTGCCGGGGACACTTCAGGCTTGTCAGGGGCGTTACAGTCCTGTCAGGGCCCAGGGGCACCAGGCCCGTGGTGTCCCTGCTAGGCCTGTGGTGCCCCTGGTGGTCCTGTGGTGCCCCTGTCAGGACTGTGATACCCCTGATAGGCCGGTGGTGCCCCTGGCAGGTCTTTGGGCCCCCGGGCCTCAAGGGGGGGGCCATGACCCATGTGACCCCCCCCTTGGATCCGCCCCTGCTAACAACGCAAGAATAAAATAAAATACAGCATCCATGCAGCTAACTAGCGAACAGTCACACGCTGTGGTCGCCAAACGTACCGGACTGGAAGCGGGATCCCGTTCCAATCCATCCCTAAACTGAACTCTCAACTCACGTGTGTATTTTGATGTGGCTGTCGTAGGTGGAGCGGTCGAGGAACTCGCAGCCGCACGTGCTGCATTTGAGTCCGTCGGCGCCGTCGCACCGGTCATGGGTGGTCATGTGACCCCGCAGCGTCCACTTCTTACTGCATCACCAGTGAGGACAGAACGAGGGAGCGAGATCAGAGACCATTCTCGTTTGGAAGCTAACGATGGAGTAATTGAATACTGAGCGAATCAATGGGCGGGCCTAGCCGTTTATAATAAACGATAATTCATTGCATCAAACTTTAACGTTTATATAATTTATTTTACGGCACTTCGATGCAAAAAAAGAAGAAACATCACGACGGCAGTTGCGTCTGAACAAGGACATTGAAGCAGACGGCAGATAAATTATGAAAAATATAACAACGAATGTAAGGCAATGAAAAAAAAAAACGGTACTCAATCGTAAAGCAATCATGGTGCAGACGGCCTGGCGCGTTTCGCGTAGAGCCTGAGCCGGCTCTAGCGCGACACTCACGCGAACGTCTGTCTGCAGAGCTCGCACCGAAACGGTCGGTAGTTGATGTGCGTCAGCTGATGGGCGTTCAGCACGTGGATCGATTTGAAGGACTTGGGACACTTGTCGCAGTGGAAGGGACGCTCGTCTGCAGGACAGGAATGGGGGAACTTGCAGGAGTATCGAGGCCACGACAGAAAACATGCAAAATTATACAGCACTTTAACGTCTGTCAGCATCCCAAACTTCCGTTCCTGTGAATACCGGGCATGCAATAAACACTGTAATCAGCCCTGTTACATGTTACCTGTTACCCGTTAATGTTACCCTGTTAATGTTACCTGTATCCCGCAAAGCGACATAGCCCGATTGCTCCAATGCGCCGAGAACCTACCCGTGTGGACGAGCTGGTGTTTCTTGAGCCTGGACAGTGAGAGCATCACCTTGCCGCAGGTGCGGCACTCGAGGTCCTGGGTGCCCGAGGAGCCCTGGCTACCGGAGGTGGTACGGCGCCGGCCGCGGCGGCGGCACGCTATGTCTACGGCCACCTGAGGAGCCCACCGAGGCACAGCATCAGTGGGGTGATACAGGCTGCCTGAGGAGCGAGTACGGTACAACGACCCGGGCAGGCTAGGGCGGGCGAGCAATGGAAGGGAAAAGTCCTAGGTAACTTCGCGAGTACCCGCGGCTTAGAATGTAACCTCCAGTTTCCAAAAATATTTAAATCAAACCGATACGCGTGCACCCATTCCATGTCATCGAGCCTGATATGATGACCGCAGTGCCCTTCCTCCGTATCAGCCGCTGCCTAAAAACTGCTATCCTAGGCCCTAGCCCCTTGTCCCACCTCTCTGAAGGTCGCACTCACCCGCGCGGCGTCCTGGTCGCCGAGTAGGATCGGCCGCAGCTGGCCAAGCCCGTCACTGGGCGCCGTGCCGTCCACTACCACGCGCAGCCGGCGGCGCGGCGTCAGCGGCGTCTCCGGCGCGTGGCTGTGCTCGCCGGCCACGTCCGGCGGCGGGCAGCCGGTCAGCGAGCCGCAGAACGGACAGGGCCGCTGGCGGCGCCGGCCGGGCACCTCCAGCAGTCGCAGCTCGTCAGTGAGCGTCAGCGGCCGGCTCACCGACAGGCCTGAGCAGGTCACCCGGCTCAGCTCCACCGTCGGAGGGCTGGCCGGCCGGGCACACTCCTCCCGCGGCGGATCGTCGGCCCGAGAGTCGGCGGTGGCCGGAGCCGGCGACCCGGTCGTGGTGGGCGTAGCGGCCGGCGGACGGCCGGGCTGCCGGCAGCGGCGCGCCGGGACTGCGCTCTTGCGGCCGCGTCTGGGCAGCGCGGGCGGCTTCTCCGGCCGCACCTCGGGGGGCGCCGGCGGCTGACGCGCCACCGGGTCCCCGTCACCGGCGGCCGTCACGTCATCCTCCACCGGAGGCGCGCACCGCTGCGGCGCCTGCGACTTGCGCGGCCGGCCCCGCTTTCTGCGCGGTGGCGGCGCGTCGCCCCGTTCCGTCTCTCCACCACCGGCGGCCGGGGCGACCTCAGCCGGCGTCTCCTGTCTGATTTCAGCCTTGGGGCTGGCGCTGACAGGCCGCTCCGGCGACTCGTGGTCCACCTCGACCGAGGCAGCCAGCTGGGCAGCGCGCTTGGGCCGCAGCCGGCGTCCGCAGGTCGGCGGCGCCGCCTGCTCCACCTGGTTCTGCACGTGCTCCGGCAGCAGGTACTCATCCTGCTGGTCCAGGTCCGGCGCCACGATCCGCTTCCGCTTCTTGAACGGCATCGTCTCGACGGCCAGCCGGCGGCTGCGGCGCGTGCCGGCGCTGCCGCGGCTGGCGGCGCGCTCCGGCTCCGGCGGCGCGCCCAGCGGCAGGCCCAGGCACTCCTGTTTCACGGCGAGCAGCGAGGGCGCGTCCGGTGCCGTCCGCGCGCTCACCGGCGGCTTCAGGTCGTGGTACTGTTTCTCGGCGACCGGCTCTGTGCCGAGCTCGCCGCCCTCCGCCTCCGCCGGCGGTACGTCGGGCAGGATGTACTGAGCCGGCTCGGGAGGGCTCAGCGCAGTCGCCGCCGGCAGACCCTCGTCAATCATCAGCGGGTCCTCGCCACACGCTGTGTCGGGGTCGCCTGACTCAGGGTCCATCTTTTGTCCGGGGCAGTTAGTAACAGAAGTAAGCGCCTGATGTCCCAGAACGCAGCCGGTCTTCGTGCTTGAAGACCACCGATGGCAGAGCGAATTGTCACATCTGCGAGAAATGAGGTTGGAAAAGACGTGGAAGATAGGGTGTAAGAGCAACGCTTATCATATTGTACTAAGTTATTTCTTTTGGAAAATTATCCAGTTACGCGCAATGGAATGCTCACGAAAATACTAAACATCGCCCTGATCGAGCTAGAACTCCCCCCCCCCCCAAAAAAAAAAAAAACACGAGGGCGTTGCCCGTACGAGAGGAAGCCGATGATGACCAACTGCAAGGTCTTAGGTCATTGGTTGACCTTCCAGGTCAGGTCGCTGACCCAAAAGTCGGGAAAATCGGGACCTGTAAGAACTTCGTGAAGTGAGGCTGCTGTGTTTTTTTTTTTCGGGGAGCTGATCACAAATTTCATGTTAGTTTTGATCACAGATGATATCTTCATGCATTTAGGTCAGGTCAGGTCAGATCGGGTCAGGGCAACCAGTAGGCGTCCTACCGGGTATTCATAGTAGGTGTCAGCCACCACTGAGAACTTCGTAACATGTTACGAAGACACCAAAACTACTTCGTAAATGTTCAAGTAGTTGCTAAATTCGAAATCAGCTAAAAAAATACTAGCCTAGAAACATGTAAAACTCGAAATAGTGAGCCATGGTCATCAAAGGTCAGTGACCTGACCTGACCTTCACGTGACCTTGACAACCACCATAATGCATTGGACCACTGTAAAAGACTGCAAACGCGCGGATAATGTGAGCCGACATACACTAAATCGCGTTTTCGGCCAAACATGGTCTCGATAAATAGGTCACAGGTCAAAGGTCATTTGGGTCAGGGCATAGACCTCTATATACTGAGGTCTGTGCCCTTTGGTCAGGGTTTCAGGGTAGGTGTAAAATGAATTAACTCGAGTGTAATGAAAGTTTCGTCGCGATCGGCCGCTTTTTGCGCGCTATTCGCGAAAAACCGAGGGGAGCCGTTCGACCCCCTATACGTGCGAGGGTTAACCCGTTTGTTTCGTTTGGTCGCGTGAGGCCCTTTCGATCTGACGAGACCATTTCACAGCCGGAAGGATGATAGGAATTAGGGGGAGACATTGGTCTGAGCGAGCACCCCCACCCTAGTGAGTCGTCGGGGCTGAGCCCGTCAAAAAACAGGCCGACCAGCCCCCCAAGCACTCACCGCACCCGGCTATACGGCCGTGCTCTTATCGGGCGTTCCCGCATGGGCTTAAGTTGCCCGTCCAGCCCGGATCAAGGGGTTGAGGCCTGGAGAACTAATTTATTGTCCTGAGGATGGAAATGACGGAACGGTGATTAACCCTCGCCCGTGTTGCCGCCGTTTTACAGCGTCCAGCGTATGGGGGGGGGGAGTCGTAGGACCTCCTTGCCGTTTGGCCCCCCTTGCCGTTTCCCCAATCCCGAAAAAACGAGCGTTGCCCAATGCCCATAACAAGAGATAGCCGATGATACCCAATTTTACTCCGCGCCGAACTGGTGATCTGAGTTTTCCATGCAGTGTTGTGGAGGGGCTTTTCATGCCGCCCGTCTACGTGGGCTCCTGGGTCACATGGCGACACGCGGTAAGCGGCATTCGAAAGAGTATCAAAGTTATGATAAAAGGGTAGATGTTGCACATTTCAACATTTCTCGAAACACCGGCCCTTACCTCGGGGACCAATGGAGCTACATCGGCGCGGAAAAGCGCATTCGATAGCTCTTTTAACGGTCTTTCTGAAATAAGCCCTCAGATATGCTTAACCCGCGCATGACTGGGGGGGGGGGGGGGCTCTACAGAGCCCCCCTTCCCGTTTTTCAGCAATATCTTCTAAACCGTTTGATAGATTAACACGAAACTTGCGGTACCTTCAAAGGCATCAATTTGACACCTTGTGTTAAAATTACAACTTTTTAGCTACCAAAGTTTGACCGGAAATGACGTCAGAGTGACGACATGTCGGCCGATTTTCATGCAAAATACTGAATTACGGCAAACGCTCTCAAGAGCTCAGTTTTAAAGCTAGATCCATTTTCTTTGCATGAGTGGACTACAAACACACGTAGCTATCAAACTGCTATCTCGAATTTTCGATATTTTGAAAATTTTGAAAAATATGATTTTACAATTACATTTTTTTATTTTTTTCAAAAAGTTTTTGAATTTTCGCAAAAACCGGAATATATGTGATTGAACACACACTGATGAACTACATTTGCAAGTTTTAGCCCAATATCTTAAAAAATAGCCGAGTTATTCGCATTATTGTCAAAATTTTACAATTTTATGTTTTTTTCAAATCCATTTTTCAGTACGTTTTTGACGTCGTACAGCAATATTAATGGCACCATCGTGTTCCTTAGCTCAAACTACATCTGATAGGCACCTTTTTTGTTGAAAAATTTCATTTTCAAAATTTGACCTTTTCTGACCTGAAAGTGACCTGACCTCCGGTAAATTATGCTGACAATGACCTCAAATGACACAGACGACACTATTTTCGAAATCTACGAGTAAAATGGACCATAAAACATGCGTCACGTGACCGATACATGATATATAATTTTCGTGACCTAGGATGACCTGGCCTTGACCTTAAAAATTCGAAGCAAAAGTTCGGTACCCTCAGGGTATCTAAGGCATCCGTCAAGGAGTGCGTAAACCAAAAATGAGCCTGATCGGACCGGCCGTCCGGTGGTCAGAGCCTAAATTGTGAACTAGCAAAAATGTCGATAATTTTTACTTTGACCTGACCTGTGACGTCATCGGTGACCTCGAGGTCAATGAAAATAGGTTTTACTCGACAGTTTTTACAGGGCTACCAGATGCCGTTTGAATTTTGACGATCAGCCCAGTAGTTTCGGAGATAGGAGGGGGGGGGCTCTGGAGAGCCCCCCCCCCCCAGTCACTCGCGTTATGGAAAATACCCCAGTCATGCGCGCGTTAAGACCAACGGCTTAGCCCTACAATATGGCTAAAATTAGAACCTTTTTTACGAACAATGTTTTCTTTAATAGCTTGAGACTCAAAAAATGTAAGCCATTTATCTCGGCAGTATCGCGTTTCTCTTGTCGGGATGTGTCGAATGAGCTATAATTTGACCTTAAAAAGTCAACTTTTTCAAAAAAAAGTCCCGAATCTGGGCTGAATCCGGGCGGCGACCTAGGGGGTGTCGGAGAATCGTACCTTTTGATCTGCCCATGTCAAACGGGGTCACATAGCGAGAATTGTTTTCGAGGAAAAGTTACTACGTCTCACGGGCTACCCGATGGTATGCTTTGATTTGGAATTCGGTCAATCCTTATACTCGAGAACCGCTGTGCACGTGTATTTTCGACATAGCCCGCAAATGATCTTAGGTCAACGCATGACCGCGGGAGGTCAAATTGCTGGAAGGAAGGTAAGATAAGATGCCTGCAAGTCGTTTGGTGCCGTTTTTAGTGCTCTAGTTCCACTTGGAAGGGCCATAAACTGCTGTGCAAATTTGGGCCACGTGACCTTTGCCGACCGGGGAGCATTCATTCTGGCCAGGGTTCATAATGTCCAGGGTACGTGATGCCCAGTGTCGAAATGGCCAGTGCCTTAAATGGGCCAGAGTTCATAATGTCCAGGGATTGCATGGTCCAAATGCGGCCAACTGGCTGCAGATAGGGTATATTCAAAGAGGCCAGGGTTCATAATGTCCAGGGCACGATGTGTCCAGTGTTCGAAATGGCCAGGGTTCATAATGTCCAGGGCACGATGTGTCCAGTGTTCAAAATGGCCAGAGTTCATAATGTCCAGGGCACGATGTGTCCAGTCACCAGTGTTCAAAATGGCCAGTGCCTTGAATGGGCCAGAGTTCATAGTGTCCAGGGATTACATAGTCACTGAAAGTGACGTCATTATGTAAAAAACACGGAACCAGCTCAATGCGAAGCAGTGCAGTGCCGAAGGCAATGCCTTAGGAGAGATTACAGGCAATAGTAAATCAAATATTTTTAGGTTAAGTGGTTATGTATCTGGCTTCAGGCCGAAGGCCTGAAGCCTGATGCATAACCACTTAACCTAAAAATATTTGATTTACTATTGCTTGCAATCTATTCATGCGAGAAATTATTTCCTTATCCCCGGTAGGCAAACATCATTACCTTAGGTTAGGTTAGGTTAGGTTAGGTTAGGTTATTTTAGGTTCGGTTTGGTTGGGTTGGGTGGACTATGTAATCCCTGGACACTATGAACTCTGGCCCATTCAAGGCACTGACCATTTTGAACACTGGACATATCGTGCCCTGGACATTATGAACCCTGGCCATTTCGAACACTGGACACATCGTGCCCTGGACATTATGAACCCTGGCCATTTCGAGCACTGGACACATCGTGCCCTGGACATTATGAACCCTGGCCTCTTTGAATTTACCCTATCTGCAGCCAGTTGGCCACATTTGGACCATGTAATCCCTGGACAATATGAACACTGGCCAATTCAAGGCACTGGCCATTTCGAGCACTGGACACATCATGCCCTGGACATTATGAACCCTGGCCTAAATAATACGCACCCTTGCCGACCTCTGTAGGTCAAACGGCTGGGAGTGCCACCGAAGGACTCGGACTGTAAATTGGGCATGTCACGGCCCACATTGTGTGCGATTTTCAGCTCGATCTGGTGTCCCGGATCTGGGCTGAATCTGGGCTGCGACTTAGGAGGTGTCGGAGAATCGCATCTTTTGACCTGCCCAGGTCAAACAGGGTCACATAGTGAGAAGCAGTTTGGAGGAAAAGTTACTACGCCTCACGGGCTACCCAATGATATGCTTTGATTTGGACTTCGGCCGATCTTTATACTCGAGAACCGCTGTGCACGTATATTTTCGACATAGCCCGCAAATGACCTTAGGTCAGCGCATGACCGCGGGAGGTCAAATTGCTAGTGGGAAAGTAAGATCAGATGTCGGCGACGTCCACGCCCCTGGGCCGGGCCCTGTGTTGGTATATGGATATACTGATACGGGGGCACCGATGCCGGATGAATTACGAGTAGCCCCGGTCTACTTTCCGTTTAACCCGTGCGGCGTGCACTAGCGAGGGTCCGGGTCAACTTCGCCCCAGTAAACATGCCGACGTCGGCCCGACGTCGGGCCGAGCCTCGGCCCGACGTCGGCCCAACGTCGGTTCAACCTCGGCCCGACATCGGCTGGACGTCGGATATGCCCGCATGTTCCGACGTAGGTACAGCCGAAGTCCAGCCGACGTCGAGCCGACGTCGGGCCGAGGTCGTTTGCCGAGGTTGATGAGATCGTTTGTCGTTGGACCGACGGGGCCGACGTCGGCATGTTTATTGGGACAACGCGCCAAAAATATCAACCGGCGGCGGGATTCGAGCCCCCCAGTTGCCGACGTCGGCATGTTTACTGGGACAACAGTAACACGTCAAAAGCATCACCCGGCGATGGGATTCGAACCCCGTGTCAATTGAACGCTAGGTTAGTGCGCTAACCACTACACCACGCAGCCAAGTGGCGAATCTAGTTTGTTTTGTTGGGTTATGCCCTTTCGGTCTGACAAGACCATTTCAGAGCCGGAAGGATGATAGGATGGAGACATTGGTCTTCTTGGCGAGCACCCTGGGTCCAGTTCATATAGAGTCCCTGGTCCCATTGCTGTTACGTGACACTTATTGGAAAGAGCGACCCCACAATGGATTCATATAGCCACTCTTACACACCTGCACCAACGTTTCCCAAAGTGTCCCTTTGATAAGTGGCACTTTGGCAAAGTGACACTTGCCAACTGGCCTTTCTATATGAACTGGGCCCGGCCCTGGTGAGTTGCCGGGGCTGAGCCTGACCAAAGGATAGGACGAGCAGCCCCCAAGCACTTACCGCACCCGGCTACGGGCGAGCTCGGCTTACGGGCAATCCCAAATGGGATAAAGTTTCCCGTCCAGTCCGGATCAGGGGGTTGCGGCGTGGAGGAAGATTTGAGTTTCCTGAGGATATTTTGAATACAGAAGCTCTTTATAAAACACGAAACATGTATTTTATATCATTTTAACGGTCAAAACAGCGGCCGATGTCGGTCCGACGTCGGCCCGACACGTCGGCTGGACCTCAGCAATTGATCTCGGTCCGACGTCGGCCCGACGTCGGCTGGTCCTCGGCTGGACGTCGGAACATGCGGGCATATCCGACGTCCAGCAGATGTCGTGCCGAGGTTGGACCGACGTCGGCATGCCGATGCCGAGTTGCCGACGTCGGGCCGACGTCGGCATGTTTACTGGGGCATCTCCGGGGAGCGGCAGATATTCGTCCGCCGACCTCAATAAGCGCCCCAGTCCCTGCACTGCCTCCCCCCCCCCCACAAAAAAATCGCGGCATTACTGGCGTTCACATATTTTTATGTATCCTTTCTGATTTCATGCCCGAAACCGGGCATATGTTGACAAAGAATTCAAGCCCAGTTACACATCATCACATGCTTTTACTAGAAACCGAACATAGGCTTTATTTTTGCTTACCTACCTGATGTAGATATGATGAGCACCAGTCCTCAAACTTGTTATAATTTCGACAATATGTAATAAGCTTCAGTAAAGCTATTTCCATGCACAAAAGCCACTGGTTGTCTCTTGGCACACAAATAGGGGGTGGCAACGGAAATGCACCACCAATTCAGCAAAGAGAAAGACAGCAAATGTATGACATTCCAAAACTTTCCGTTTGTGGCGGTGCCAAACGCGCAACAAAGCCCTTCAACAATAGAAACATGTTTAGAATACAGCAGATGTTGCCATGGCAACAACATAAGTGACCTTGGTTTTATATTACTTTTGAGCATTTGATATTTTTTCAAATAGTTTTCTTATTATCTACTGCCTTGGTTTTCTTGTTCTACAATTATGAAAATATCTCTTTGATAGATAAGAAGGCAAGCCATCAGTTTTTCAACGAAACCTTTTTAAAAATTGCGGGCTTTTAAACTTTTGTCGTCATTTCCTGCGCATCATATCCATTACTTGTGTTCGGCTAGCGTTATACAAACTGAAAGACACCATCGTCAGCAGCATCAGCTCGATTTTCGACCCTTGGTAAAAAGCGTTGAAACAAGTGATCAAAGAAACAAAAGTGAATACAGAGCTTTGAAGTGCCAAGAAAAAAGTTTCTAATGATATAATTTATGGTAAATGCATTTTTACAATATTTTATAGTTGAGCTAGAAAATAAACATTTACAACCTTCATTCTTAGAACATAATTTCAGTTCCACGGCGCTAATGGCGCGAGGGCTAAAGACTGGCTCTCTCTATCGTCTGGATAAAAATAGGCCCCGCCCATCCCAATCAGCTGCTGCATGACGAGTTGATGACGACAACCACTACTTACCAGCAACCAATCTAGGGATAGCGTACGTGACAGTAATGGTGCAGCGGTTGCAAAATATTGCATTGTTATTCAAACGGTTTTTGCTTTTTGATTGTGATTGTATTGAGATATGTGATTAGATGAGGTGTTGTTGAAGGCAGGTATTTTTTTAAATATTTTTTGACAATTTTTTGCCCCCTTGTGCTGAACCCGGGACCACCTGAAGTCTAAACCTCATTTTATATAACATGTCAATACTGATGCTGTCCAGCTCAGAGTTTTTTTTTTGGGGGGGGGGGCAAACCAAAACAATTTATCGATTCTTTCCATGCATCGTCCATAGGCGTAATGTTAAAATTATGCCGTTTGGGGGGGGCAAATGCCTATTTTGCCCCCCCTGGATCCGCCACTGACTGCTCCGATCCTGGTCATGCAACCAACGTTCATGGGTGGTGTTTCACGGCAGAGCACTGCAGTGCGCTGCGTGTGTCAGAGCATTGGGTTGCCATGGCAGTGTCAACAAAGTTCACTGTGACGCTAAGCTATATGACAGCATCCCAGAACGCTAGCACGCTGCGGTACCAGCACCAGCAGCATGCTAGCAGTATTTGAACTCAAACCTCTGTTCTTGGTACGGTTTTTCAGAACATCTCACTCTGTTCCAAACGCGATTCATCATAAACTAAGAGATCACATGCAACGTCATTTGAGTGATGCTATGGTATGCCGTAGCTACCAGTGCACACAGTGTCTGGATGGTGAAACAGGGCCATTATTAATCACATTTGCTTTGCTTTGTTTCAGCAGAAACCTGTCTGCACATGGGAGGAGCGCAACAAAAGCCCATCAAGTTCATGCATGGCAGTGGATCTCAACAGCAGAAAACCAGAAAGAACATGGATGCTTGTAGATTGCAGTTGTACACTGCTGTTATCACGTGATGTGTGTGGCTGGCATTGCTCCTGGCAAGAACCACCTGCAAGTGATGAGATGGTGCCTCAGTCGTTGAGTGTGCTGCAGTGTGAGAGGCGCCCTGATCTCTACTTTGTGATGGGTTTCCATTGGAAGTTCAACTGAGAAGTGAGAAGTGACTGTGACCATGCTCGAGCATGCCAGTGGAGCTTTACATGCTTAGGGCAGCTTTTGAACAGATGCTGACCATGGCATGTCCCATCCAGTTATCACGTGCATAGAATGGTGGGGGGAGGGCAACTCTGGTTGAGTCAGCCCTACTGCGCTGGGGGTACAGATGGCCGCTTACGTTTGGTGTGTCCTGCACTGCATTATCAAGCCCAGTCTGCTGCCACAGGCAATGGATCGGGCTGCACTATATTAAAGGCAGACTATCTTGCAAAGGAGGCTGGCATCCTCTCCCATAATGACACACCAATTGGCAATCATCGCTGCGATGATCACGAGGGTGTCCGCTTATCTAACATGGTGAGGTGGAGAGCCAGCTCAAGCTGGCCTGAGGGATGGTTTTACTTCATCTGAGGCCCCCTTTCCCCGCCTGCCAGGTCCGGTCAAACGACCGCTTCACAGTGAACGACTTGCAGTGGATGCCGTCCCACAGCGCAACGAGCGCGCCGACCAGAGGCGGCGGCCAAGAGGCGGCCGCGCTCCCCCAGTCGACGGTCCCGGTGGACGTCGGCAACGCCCACCGCGCGACCATCAGATCGGCTCGCGACCGCGCCGTCGCCGACTGACCGCATGACTGGTATCTGTTCTTGATGTGGGACCGACTGCCACCGCCGGTCGCGGAAGGGCATCGCTCATCGGCCATCGACGTTCACCAGCTTCGCGTGGGTCACTGTTCGGGCTGCCACCAATACACCGAATCGGATGGAACCCTGTCGGCGAATGCCGGCGGTGCCCCGACATCGACTGCGCGGCGGCCAGTGCATCGCGTGCCGGGAGGAGGCTGGCACCCCCGATCGGTCATTGGTCACAAACCGTGTCCCAGCTCATGACTGCATCCAGCGCAGCTCTGTGCGATGTTCTGCTGCAGTCTGCCGCGTGTGTTGAAAGAAGAATGAACACGAGAAAACCTCAAAACTTTATGCCTATTAGTATTTGACCAGTATTGGAATAAGTTTGGATTTTGAGAATTTGTGTCCCTGTGCTTGTGCCTGTGTGAAAAGGCATGCTTTACGGTGTACCATCTCAATTTGTGCGGCTGCTGACAAGCCACCTGGGTGCCAACGTATGTGCGAATCCGCGAATACGTTGTGTTTCGTCAGTCGGTATCGTTCTGAAAATATTGACTGCAATAGGCTATATAGCGTATGACGGTTCAGCCCAGCAGTAATAACTGACCATTGATTGGGCGAATTTTGTGTGGTGGTTCGCTAATACATAACCTAAAGAGTGTTTTGCCGGAATTGTTTAGTAGCAGAACTGACCGGAATATAAGTAGAATGCAACGGTTTGAATCGTTAATTTGTTGAAACGATTGTTCTCTGAGACCACTGTGTAACTTTTGACCTGAGAATCACCAATTATAACGACAATGGTGGAAGCAGTAGGCACTGTAGAGTGTAGGCAGCACTATATAGTTGGCACACTTACGCAAGCACACGACTTACGCAGTGGACATCTGCATCATGCATGTTAAGGTTTACTGGGAAGAGTGAGAAATTAGTCAAGGCGATATTTCCAATTGAGCTGGGGCGGAGAGGGGGAGGGGACGTATGGTCAGCTATGCCAATAATTCATTCTCGTTATGCAGCTGTGTAAAAGGGCGTCGTTTTTTTCTTGGGTGAGACCTTCCCCATTGGCCATTTCCAAGCTAAATCGTGGTGGAGAGTCTGGAGACCTCAGCCTCGGTAGTCGGTACCCTGCGCGCTGCGCCACCTTGCGAAACATAAAGCAGCAGTCCTGACATCTACAGGCGTTACTTTTCATGAAAGCGTGGATGTGTTCGCGCTTATGCGAAGAAAATTCTTCCGAGTATGGTTGATAATGAGATTAATTGTTGTCATTTATTTATTAATTCATTGGCAAAAGTACCCTAATAAATCGGTAAAGTAGCTTAAACTGTATCGTATTTCCTTGAGAAAAAAATGACGAACTCATCCTAAGACATCCAGATTATTGGATGCGTTCGTCAGTTGTAAGTAGTTCAAGTTTTTGGAAAAAGTTGCTTGTGGAAAATCATAATATTTCAAAGATATGCCTATTTTCGAATAGTTTATGCATTTATCTGCATTGAAAAATGATTGTAAAGCAAAAGTGCAAACGATTGTTGTCAATTTATTCTCTCAAATCACTATTTACGAACGCACAAAACTCCAGCTTTTAATTTAGTGCGTGTGCGAATTGCGGTCAGGAAAAAAGATTTAAACTGTCTATATTCCTCTTAAAACAATGAAGGATGAATGAGAAAAACGCTGTTTTGAACAATTGTATGTTTATTTTTTCTCAATTAAGCAAAAAACCAAAATTTTCAACTATTATTACATTTGCTCTCACAAAACCCATCACTTTTAAGCATGACGTCATGTCAGCCAAACTTACTAGCGCCATCTCTGGAGAGCATCTTTCGAAACCTCCAGACGATAGAGAGAGCCTAAAGACTCATAGGTATGGCATAAAGGGATGAATCGACTTTTTACGCTTGTTTAACCTTTTTGTGATACGAATACAAATTGAAGTACATACCTACGTAGTTTGCGTACTATCAACTCAACTGCAAGGGTATGTGATCTACCAGCCTGCGTTTTTCCACATTTTGTTTATTTTAATGACTTCAACCTGTGAGCAACGCTGAAATAGTTTGTTCTGGCATTTGTCACTTTTTAAGAATTTTACAGTGCTCAGTAGGTTATCACTGAATGGTTAAAGGGCAAAGGCCCCAGCTGTTGTGCCAGGTGTACCGTAAACTGGGGTGACAATGGTAGGGTGACTTTGATCATTGACCAATTTGGGGCCTAAAAGGAGGAGCATTTTGATTTTGCTGCTGTGAACTGTATTTTCTATGCCAATGGTTATATAAAGCAATGCAGCATTATAGCAGACAATTTGGTCCCAGTTAAAACAGTCATGTTTATATCACAGATTGTTTTGTTGTTGTTGGCGTGAAGTATGAATTTGCTAGCATCTCCAGCAATAATAATGGTAAAGATGAGAAAGACGGAAGACCCAGAGGGCTGTTTGGGTCCCTGCAGGATAGATCTATGCTGAGTGTGTCATACTTGGGTGACGTCAGCCGCCTGGCTCCGCCCACTCTCCGTCAGCACGCCACCGTCGAGCATTGCTGCAGCTTATTCCACCCATGGCTAACCATGCACTGGGGGGAATGGTGATTGTCGCTCAAATAATGGTTAAAATATGTTTAAATGTGGTTACTAGCAATGTGCCACTGAAAAGAGTGCAATGACACCAAAAAAGCATCACACAAACCATCTCTCTCTGGTTTCCCTTCAAAACGTACGTAATCACACAAACCACTTACAATAAAAAATATTGGACAGTAAACTTTAATCCGCGCCACTTTCGTCTCCTGCAGTTGCTGTTTTCGTGCTGCAGGAAAGAGAAACATGCTTCAGTAGGTGACACTATTAGTAAAGTAATCTTGGGTGACACACAGGCGAAGACGGAGTCGGAGTGGTGTGGGCGGGACTAACGGGCGACGTAGCCCTCGCTGCGCATGCGTGTTGCAGGCTGCTGCAGCAGATTTCATTTTGTCTGCACAGTCGAACAGCCCTCGGATAAAGAAAGAGAAAGCAAAGGCTCAGATACTGAGGATGGCTCACGAGCATTGAGCTGGTCTATATGTGGTAATTGGAGCATTAAAGGGAAGTGAAAAAGACAATCAACTGGGAGGGGCATTGGCGTGAGCAGTGTGGCAAGTGGTCCCACAGCCACCTGCAGACAAAGTGTGATGTAGGACAGGTAGCCTGTGGCTTAGGACACCTGTGACTGTCACTTAACCTTGAAGTCAGAGGTTAACCCGCGCACCGACGGGGGGGGCGGATATCCGCCCCCCCCTGAGGTTTTTCGCGAATAGCGGGAAAACCGCGGCGCTACGCGAAATTTGGTATGACTATAACCTCATCAATTTTACACATGGTGTGCAAGTTTGAACCTCCTACCTTTTAAGGTCAGGTCACCAGGTCACTTTGAATGACCCAACCTCAAGTCACTTTTTTGCAACTTTGTCACCGTGCCAGAGCTACAGTAGATGTCGGAGGCCTTTGAAAGTCGCAGGATATTATTAGGTCATTAGTAGCTACAATTTGTATATCTCGGAATTTTGATATCGGTGACCTAAGGTCAGGTCAATTTCGCGACCTCCCCATTATAAGTCAATAGGGGAAAAATCAACTCCCTGTTTTTACCACTAAAACGGGTCGGAATGGCCCCATATACCATACATGACCTCATATACGATCAACCTTCACTACCTTGAGGTCTGTTTTGCTGTTTCACACACACACACACACACACACACGAAGTTTATTGTTCTAGTACATCAGGTACATCAGATTTGCATCACGGAGAGTTGGCGCAAAAGCCATAGGCTTGTCTCTTGGCGCCAAATCTCAATTGCTCTACATAGCAACATTCAACATTCACATGTCCGCAATAACACCGCCGCCGCCGCCGTGTCTACGGGAGTCTCGCGCAGCCAGCCACCCCCACGCGCGCTCCTCCGCAGGCGCAGGCCCGCCCGGGTCAGCAAACGCTGTACTTGATTATAATCCAGTAAATCTACCTGATTCTTGCAAGAATTTTTGGAAGTGCCAAGCCACCAGCCGACCGCCCCCGCCACCGAGTCCGCGGCCGTGCAGGAGGACTTCAAGTTGGAATGGTTTGGGTTTTTGTTTGAGGTCATAGTTAAGGATGCGTTGCAAGTTATAGTAGAGTGAGTCTCTTGGTTGGTTGTACTTGGGGCATGTAAATAAGTAGTGTGTTACGTTTTCCTGAGGATGCCCGCATTCACATTTAGGAGTTTCGATTTTTTGTATTTTGTACTTGTGTTCGTTAAGTGTAGTCATGTTCAGCCTTATCCTCGTATGTAGTGTGTTTAAGGTCCTGGTGCCGTAAGAGTAGTACAGAGGAGGTTTGTTGGTGCACATGCGTTCTGTAATGTTGCTTTTGAAATCTTTGTATGATAGTTCCTTAATTGAGTTTGGCAGACTGTTCCACTGTTTTCCTGTGAGAGAAAAAAATGTTCGTTGGTGTTTAGTCGTACGTGCTCGTGGTTGGGAATGGTGGTTTGCGTTTCTTAGTGACCTATTGGTGTCTCGTAGTCGTGAGTGTGGCATAAGGGAAGTGATGTAAGAGGGCCCTGTTTGAAAGTCAGATTTTGTTAGTTTATGGTAAAGCATGAGTCTGCGTAACTTTCGTCTGGTTGTCAGTGTGTCCCATCCAAGTTCAGTACGTAGTTTGTCTGATGATGTTCGAAAAAGGGCTCCTGTCGTCAGTCTCGCTACTCTGTTTTGGAATGCCTCGAGTCTCATTGTGTCGTGAATGGTGATGTGTCCGTCGTAAATGGTGTCGCAGTAGTCCAGATATGGTCGAATGTATGTCTTGTATATTGCGTCTAGAGTGTTCCGTGGGAGATAGTGTGCTATAGGATATAATGGACTAAGGGATTTATTAGCTTTTTTAAGAATAACGTTTATATGTTCGTGGAACCTAAGGTCTTTTGAAAAGGTCAAACCAAGGTGATTATGTGTGTTTGTTGATGGTATCTGAAGCCCACCGAAAGTGAGTTTGGGTGGTATGTTGTTAGGCTTATGGGAAAATGTTTGTTGTACGGTTTTTGCATCGTTGAATTTTATGGCCCATTCGTGTCCGTATTTTTTAATTTCGTCGAGGTCCAGTTGTAGCGAGTTTTGGGTGGATGTCAGCGTTCTGTTTGTGTGAGAAGCATAGAGTGACGTATCATCGGCGAAGAATAAAATGTCGTTTTTAGTGCGAGTTGAGAGATCGTTTAGGTATATGAGTGCAAGTAAAGGACCGAGGACTGATCCCTGTGGGCAGCCGGCATTTATCTTACGGGGAGCTGAGAGCGAATTTCGAATTTTAACTATTTGAGTCCTGTCTGATAGATATGATTCTAGCCATTTGATAAGTGTTCCTGAAATTCCGAATTCATTTTCACATTTGTATATTAATCCTTTGTGCCAGATTTTGTCAAAATATTTGCTGATGTCCAAAAATATTGCTGTAAAATCACCGCCATTGTCAAGAGAATTGTAAAGATTGTGTGTCAGATACTGGAGTTGTAGTTCAGTGCTGTGATTCTCTCTATATCCACTTTGTTTATCAGTCAAAAGATTGTGATCACTAACATGCTTGTAAATATTTTTGTGTACTACTTTTTCAAAGATTTTAGACAAAACCGAAAGGATGCTGATTGGTCGATAGTTGGAGATGTCTGATGGTGACCCTTTATTTTTAAATATTGGTTTAACATGCGCAGTTTTGAACTCACTTGGATAAATTCCCAGAGAAAGTGATTTATTAAATAGTTGTGATAGGGGTTTGGCGATAAGGAGTGCTGTAAGTTTTAAGAATCGTGTAGGTAAATCGTCTGGGCCGGTTGATTTATTGACGTCTAGCGAATTTAGTATTCCAAGGATTTCTCGTTCAGTGGTTGTTATTCGCTGGAGTTGAGGAATGTTTTGAGTTGTCCTGTTGTCTGGCAGTGGATGGGCGTCGGATATGTCTTGTGTTGATTGCGAGGCGAAGTAATCGTTAAAGAGTGTCGCCTTTTCTATGTCGTCACTTATCACGTTTCCCGTTTGTGTCAGCAGTGGTGGTATGTCTTTGTCAGTAGTTTTTCCTATAACGGTTCGTAATGTTTTGTGATACTTGTACGGATTTTGTCTTTGTTCGGTCAATTTTTCAACTTGTTTACTAATATATTCATGTTTAAGTTGTCGGCTCATTGCAGTGACTAAATTGCGCTGATGTCGCCACCTTGTCCAGTTTAAGTCGGTTTGTGTTTGTTTAGCAAGCTTGAAGAGTCGATTTCTTTTTCTTATGTTACGTTTTAATGTACTTGTCATCCATGACTTGTCATTCCGCTTCTGATTAATAAGTTTTTTTGGTATGGTTGCAGTTGCCGCGTCGTGAAGTGTTGTAATGAATTGTGAGGTAGCTATGTCTAAATCTTGTTCAATTATGCTATTCCAGTCTGTGTCGGTGAGTGTCTTAGTCAGGAGATCAATGTTCATTTTCCTGTACTCCCAAACAACAATTGGTGGCTTCTCAGTTTGGTCGGTTATTGTCGTGTTAAGTTCGACGAAAATAGGGAAATGATCGAGGTTTGCAAATGACGACAATGTGCCGCTATGTTGGATTAAGTTGGTGTTATTTGTAAATATTAGATCTCTTAAATTTGCGACATCGTTTGCCAGTCTTGTGGGTTCGTCGATGAGTTGGTAAAGGTTTAGTGTATCAGCTGTTTCTTTAATTTTGTAATCAAATGAGGTTATGCCACTGTGCCGATTAAATGAGTGATCAAGATATATGTTACCAGTGTTGAAATCTCCCAGTGTTATGACGGCTGTTGGTGAATAAGTTTGTGCCAGACAGGTTGCTTCGGTGAACGTGTCTATGAATGATTGCAGTCGGTCCGATGACAAGTGGGGCGGAAGATAGATACAGCTAATGATAAGTGTTAAGTTCTTTACTTTAATTTTTGCCCATACCCACTCTTCGTTTCCAATTTCGATATTAAGTAGTCTTTGTATCGGTAATGATTTATGACAATATAGGGCCACTCCTCCTCCATGTCGCGTCCTATTCTTGATAATTGGCGGGTGGAAGTCGTGTAATGTATATTGGCTGTTTGCTATCGTGTCATCAAGTTTTGTTTCAGTTAGCGCTAGAATATGTACGTTATTTGTTATTATGAATTGTTCTAATTCCTCTATTTTGGGCAGCTGTGAGGTCATGTGACGTCATCAAAGGTCACCAAATGTTTTTGGCCAATAACACCGCACAGGAACAAGATACAGACGCGTGGATGGTCTCATTGTGTTCAGCTCGTCAAGACGCATCGAATGATATACATGATGACCTCGAGGTCACGTGACCTGAGGTCAACCTTTGACCTTGACCTTTCGAGGTCAACATATATATCATTCGATGCGGATTGACGAGAGGATCACGATGATGCCCTTAGTTTGTTCCTATCTTGACTAATTCGAAAGTTATTCGAGAAAAACTCTCTCCATATCTAGCGCCGCCATTTTGACTTTTTCGACCCCTGTGACGTCATCTTTGACCTGACCTGAAAATGACCTTTGTAAAAATTGTAGATCTTGGCCGTGCGTATCTGATGCCGTTTACCGCTTGTCGCTATCTTGCTTCGTTCTCGAGATCTCAGGGGGGGGGGGCGGTCATCCGCCCCCCCCCCGTCGGTGCGAAGTTGGCGCAGACCCCCGTCGGTGCGCGGGTTAAAGTAGCTAATCATGCTGCTTAATGCTTATAGCTCCATAATGTGAGTTTAGACCGGGAGCATGCAACTTTATTTTAATGCCTCAATGATTCATAGTTTGGCTGTGAAATGTGAGTTTTTGTCGAGCAAAGCCTTTGATTTTATTTAAAACATGTAAGTTTTAAACGTAAAATCTAAAAACAAGGGTGACACCTGCTTTATGACTACCCAATGTTGTGTTGCTGTTGCTGTCTTGGGGCAGTATTGTTGAGAAAAACATTGTATGAGAAGAACTATAAATTATTGTAATTACCAGTCAGGGATAATTGAATGATCTAAAGGGAATAGTTATTGCCATTTCCCTTATCACAAGAGCAGAGGCCTCTTGCTCCAAACTAGGTAGGTAGAATCGAAAAACCAGTTGTACATTGATAACCTAAAGGTGGTAAATTATTCTGTTTCAGCTCCTGACATAAACTTACAGGTGCTTGGTAGAAATTATTGGTTGATTGTCATGGACCATGGTTGAGTCTTTGAGTGGGTGTGGTGCAGCAGAATCCAAGTATTGGTGCAAGAGGATCTGGATGCAACACTAACAGGCCTCTTGATAATAAAGTTTTGTGATGCAGTTAAATATCAACATCCCCTGACAACCTTATCTGTGCAAATGCGTTTGAAACCACGAAAAGCTTGCAAACGCGCGGCTAATGCGAGCCGACATACACCGAATCGCGAGTCCGGCCAAATATGGTCTCGAGAAATAGGTCACAGGTCAAAGGTCACTTGGGTCAGGGTCATGAAATTTTCAGAGTAGGTGTAAAATTGATCAACTCGAGGGTACTGAAAGTTTCGTCGCGGTTGGCCGCTTTTTGCGCGAGTTATTCGCGAAAAACCATGGGGGGAGGGTCCATCCGACCCCCCCCCCCCTACACATGCGAGGGTTATGTCGCTACGTGGCCCAGGAGCGGGGAAATCCAGGACCCCCAGCGGCACGGGGGTTAGGGGAGAGTGGGGCAAAGCGGCCACCCTAACGTTTCTAACGATGCCGACGCTTGATTTTTAAACTTGGAAAGATTCTTTCTATACCAATGTGATCCCTATTAAATTGTCTTTTATTCCAACTGCGTTTCATTTCCAAAGGCGTTCACATATGGGAGATATTGACAAAACTTTAAACCTATAGCATATTGGCCACTTTGCCCCATCCCTGAGGCAAAGCGGCCACTGGCGACTTCTCAAGTCCCGATATGAGAAACAGAATAGTTGCCTCATGCACGACTAGGGTATTTGATGGTGACAAGGTTTAAGGGAAGATGGATGTTTACTTTGTTATCTTCCCACCTATTGCTAAACAAAGAAAGAATTTTCTTGGAAAAACATTTAATTGCATAATTTGGTAACTCATGTAACCGAAAAGTGGCCAAGATGAATGCATGACGACACATTTGAATATAAATAATGTTTTTATCCAGATGGAAACAACTTATGGCCAATTGGGGGCTGGCCACTTTGCCCCGGCCGCTTTGCCCCGCGCTACCGTCCGAGACAAAAATATTCTAGCTCAGCTATTAGTGGGTTAAAAAGCATTAAAATTGGTAGAAGGCATGTACGATAACCACGCAATGCATGGACAAAAACGCTTATAAAAATTCCAAACGGTTATGGAATAAAATAGCATTTAAAAATTGTAAACATAATTGGTAACCTGGCAAGAAATGCTTTTCCGTGTTTCACAGAACAATGGCGATGGGCCTGAAACCCCGGTCTGGCTCATTCGAACGACCGCAAAGAGAAGTATAATTGGAAATCATAAATTGGAACTGACGCCAGCTGTGGAGGGCTAAAACGATGGATGGCCGCTTTGCCCCGGGTGGCCGCTTTGCCCCACTCTCCCCTAATTAACCTGCGCCCCGTAGGGCTAGGTACCGGCGGACCCTACCACCCGTAGGGGGGGGGGGGGGCGTTTCGGCCCCCCTTAAGATCTCGGAAATTTACCGGCCGATTTTCAAAATTCAAACGGCGTTCGATAGCCCCACCCGGGAACTACCTTGTGACCAAAGTTCATTGACCTAGGTTAAACCGATGACGTCACAGGTCAGGTCAAAGGTCGGATTTTCACCGTTCACAGGCATTTCAAGAAATGTGTTGTGAAATCGAGTAAATTGGTAAGTTATTGAAAACCTTCGATGGTACATTGTTCGTCAAACACATACTTCGCTATCTGAGGTCACCGATACCAGGTCAGGTCACAGAGGTCAGGTCACTGGGGGTCACATGGGGGTCACAACATGAAAGTGGCGTGTGATACATGTTTTATGGTCCATTTTACATGACAAATGCGATTATGTGGGTCAGGCAGCCTTTGGGGCCAGCTTAGGTCACGTTTTGGTGAAGGTCAGGTCAAGGTCAGGTCATATTAGGTCAAATTTCAAAGTTGATATTTTTGCATAGAATGGGTATTGATTCGATGCAGCTCGTCACGGGGAGTCCAATGGCGGTCTTTGTTTTGCCCTTACGTGGTCTAGAATTGCCAAAAATTGAGTTTGACAATTTGACGTCATCATTTTTGAACAGTTTTTCGCTATAACTTGGCCAAAAAACCAGATATCGATCTGAAATTTGGTATGTAGATAGAAGACGGTACCTAGGTACTATCACATATATTCCGTTTTTTTCGAAACTCAAAAAACTTTTTGGATTTTTTGGCTAATATATCCAAAAAATTGCTTTTTTATTTTTGGGGGTCAAAACTCAAAAATTTCAAAAATCCGAGATAGCAGTTTTGTAGCCCTGTCAATTCTACACCTTTTATGTCCAGACCATTTTTCTGTATCTTCAAAGCTGTAGGCATGACAGCTCTTTTCGCGAAGATCTTTTTTCGGTCGAAAATGGCAGAACATGACGTCATTCGGACGTCATTTGTGGCCAACCTATCATAGCCTCTGGAAAAAAATTTGGTCCCAATGTGTAAAATTGATGCCCGGAGGGGTCCTGAAAGTTTGGTGGCGATATCTCCAGCCGTTTAGGAGATATCGACGGAAAAGGACAGGGGGGGGGCCGTTTCGGCCCCCCCCCCCTACGGGGCGCGGGTTGTAAGCCAACACATCGAATGGCGAGTGCGATGCCATACTGTGGAGCACCTCTCCCTCCTTCCCCTCCTATACTCATGCTATGTTCCATCTGTACCGGCGAGTGCAGCATCTGCCGCCCTCGGACCGGGGGATCTGCGCTGTTTTTTGTTCTGCGGTCTGTTTATGAGTCACGTGCCATTGGCCGGGTCCGTGGTCGGCAGGGGCCCGTCCGTCTCCCCCTCCCTGCCCCATCCGCCGCGCGCCGCTGCGTCGTTGAGCGGGTTAGGCCAGTGGACCACAGAGTGGCCCTGGAGGCGGAGTGACAAAGACTGGACGTCACGACAGCGTTCTACCGTCGTCGTCACAGTTTGGAGACACCAACCGTGAGCGTTGCAGTGGGATTGGGGAGCCCGGGATCGAGTTCTACTCAGGGATTGATCGGGTGGCTGTGATTGGTGGAGTACGTAGTTTCGTCGTGTGTGGATTGATAAGTGCTTTGACTTCTTTATCATAAATACGTGCATTATATTAAATTATCAAGCTGTCGGGTGGTGGTGTTATTCTTTGTTGGCATTTATTTGAATTAAGTAGCACAAGCTTCGTATTGATGGTTGATGAACGTCTGTCTGTCCACCTCTACACAGTTTTTTTTGCGCTTTTTCCGCTCCCTGACCCGATAATGCTAAACGTTGCCACACTCCCAATCTGTCTCGGAAAGAATCGACCGGCTGCTTTGCGATGCAATGACACACAATAGCGACACAGCACTGCAGTCGCTTCTTTGCTCGTGGCGTTCGCTGTTCATGCCGGAAGCTACATCCTGTATGATCGGTTTTGATTGACCTACTTTCATTTCCCTTTCTCCAATGAATATAAAGATGGTCTGAAATAATTTTGGGAGTGACGTGTCCACTGCTGCAACCGATTTTAAGTCATGTCTTACTCTTTCTAGAACATACGCTTTCCAAATACAGATTACCAAATACATATTTGGTTTTGGTTTCCCAGGACATCTGTTTTTTTTTCGATCATTTTCTGGACCACATCAGCGACCATATCATATCAGTTCGATAGTGACTGGAAGTCAAGCTATTTATGAGCAATTGGTTGCTAGTGGTTCATCAATATGCCATTATGAGCTTTTTTTTAGTAACTATTCTTACATTTTTCAAGATTGGGCATAAGCTCTTGATCGCATCCTCTTACTTCTCATAGCTAGGCACGACACTTCACCTTTTGTGGAAATATTTTCCGAGTTCATTCCGCAGGAATTTCTACCAAAAGCTGTAAACAATTATCTGCCATCCGGCCCTGACCACAGGTTCTGACTGATCTGTCTATCGCCAGAGCTCGCCATGTACCGCGTCGCCGCCGTTCTGATGCTGCTCACGGCCGCCGCCGCCCAGGGCACCGTGTGCCCGGACGGCAAACGGTGCGCCGGCGGCTCCTGCTGCATGACCATGCGGTCTGACGAGCTGTACGGCTGCTGTCCGTTCGCCAACGCCGTCTGCTGCGCCGACATGCTGCACTGCTGTCCGCAGCGTGAGTAGGGGGAGGGAAGGGGCTGCTGGGCTGGGAGGGTGGCAGTGGGGCCTCTTGGGAGATGGCTGGACTGAGTGGTGACCGGGAGTGTCTGGATTGGGAGGGCAGAGTGTTATGCTCGGGGGCGTCTGAAGGGGAGGGAGTGACGAGGGGAGCTGGAACATGTCTAGCAATTCGGGCATGGCTGCTTGGTGAAATAAACAAAACTGACTTGTTTTGCGGGGCACCGTTGGTTGAAGCATTTCGGTCAACCCATATTTTCTATCAGTTGCTCTCAACCCGCGCCCTGGTGGGGGGGGGGGGGGCTATTTTTTGCCCCCCCCCCTCCAGACTTTTCGATATATCTCCAGAACCGCTGCGCCGATCGTCACCAAGCTTTCAGTACCCTCCTGGACATCAATTTTACACATTGTGATCAAAAATATTTCCAAAGGCTATGATAGGTTGGCCGCAACTGACGTCAGAGTGACGTCATGTTCTGCCGTTTTCGACCCAAAAAAGGGTTTCGCGGGAAGAGCTGTCAGGCCTATAGCTTTGCAAATACAGAAAAACGATAATACATAAAATTTGTAGAATTGACAGGGCTACAAAATTGTTATCTCGGATTTTTGAAATTTTTGGATTTTGACCCCCAAAAATAAAAAATAGATTTTTTGAATAAAATAGCCGAAAAATCCAAAACGTTTCTTGAATTTCGCAAAAACCGGAACATATGTGATAGTCCTTCCCGCCTTCTATCCACATGCTAAATTTGAGAATGATACCTCTTTTTTTGGCGAAGTTATAGCGAAACAATTACTGTTCAAAATTGATGACGTCAAATTTTCAAACTCAATTTTTAGCAATTCTAGACCCCGTAGCGCAAAATAAAGACCACCATTAGACTCCCCGTGACGAGCTGCATCGAATCAATGCCCATTTTATGCAAAACTATCAACTTTAAAATTTGACCTTTTTTGACCTGACCTTGACCTGACCTTCACCAGAAAGTGGCCTGAGCCGTACCTGATAGTCTTATAACCAACACCATTGAGTTGGAAATGAAAAATTGGCCATAAAACATGCATCGCACCACCCTAGTACCTAAAGTTAGGTTCATGTGACCTGACCTGTGACCCTTGTTGACCTGACCTGTGACCTGACTTGGTAATGTCAGTGACTTCTTATAGCAACATATGTACTAGGCAACTGACGCCCTATCGCTGATTCTCGACAAAATGCGTTTTCTTCGGTGTTATAGCGCATTCCCTAGATGACCCGTGAACGGTGAAACATTTCATCTTTGACCTGACCTGTGACGTCATCGGTGACCCCAAGGTCAATGAAATTTGGTTTCCTGCGACAAATTTGACAGGCCTTTCGAACGCCGTTTGAATTTTGCGGATCCGTCCAGTAGTTTCGGAGATACGAGGGGGGCAAAAAATAGCCCCCCCCCACCAGGTCGCGTTATAAACAGACCCCACCAGCGGCCGATTTCATAAAAGGTAGTAAAATACAACTGGCGCAATTTCCCACCCGTTTTTGCCGGATTTTATGCCCTAGCGGTTTCATAAAGAAAACGGGGTTGTATTTTGCGACCGAAATTCTACTACGTCGACTTTTATGCCCAACAGCTGTTTTTGGAGAGAAATGCAGCAGATCGGTTTCATAAAACGATGCATTTTACACGCAAGTAATATTTCATGTTCTTGATATCCCACAAAATTCTGCGTTGCTCTGAGCTGCATAAATTTGACCAAACTTTGACATCAACAGTTGTCTTGAACATTGAAGTGTGGAAGTGAATCGAATTTTCTACCTATTTATTTTGAAATAACTATTTGACCAAGAATCAGGAGCTTTGAAGGCACAAGGCAGTAAGTAATACTTTGTTTGTAGACCGAAAAAATGTATTGTTGGCAAATATTTGCTGTTGTAGGAGTTCAAGTTGATAAGATTTGAGATTGACAGTTTGCAGGGAACCACTTGAGTGTTCTTTCTTCAACATGGTAACATATAAAATGAGTGTGATAATGCTTTTTGCCACAAGTGATGTGTAATATTGATATTGATATGTCAATTGTCAGCTACAACTACATATGTACCTATATTAATCCTTTTGCCCGTCATCGTCAACAGATTCACTGGTCTCAAGTCAAAGTTGTCAGTATTGCGAGTGCATACCTACATCAATTGAAGGTCTTCCAACCAAGGTGAGTTACTATACCCAAAGATGCTTCTGGTATTAGTATACAAAAGGTTTGTCTGAATGGGTTGTAGGTTGATAGTTTGTAGTAGGTTAGTAAGTTGGAGGTAGGTAGGTCATTGTTGCTTTTCAAATCAACGTCATTTGCAATGAGCAGCTTCTAAGTGTCATTGTATTCCTATCATTATTTTGTAGGTATTGACAAAATGGATAGTGTAGCTTTTTTTCTATGTAGGTAACAGTCAGATATTGTAGGTTTGACATCTTTTTGCCTCACCAACTTCCGCTGTCACTGTAACAGGTGTCTCACATGCGGCCAACTGTTAATATGACATGAAGTGATTTTGATCATTTTCCAGCCCTGCATCTTGAGAAGAAAATCTGCATGTGGTAGCTCGGGCAGATTTTCTTCTCTTACACCTGCTTCCATGTCCCATAGCAGCATCTTACACTTTTCCCGCTCTTCCAATAGAGCACGCCACAGAGCATTGCATCTTACACCTCCCTTTTTGTCCCATGATAACACGTTAGTGGATCGTCTAACTGTAACACGGTGTCCGTTAGGGCTGATAATCCCGGGACTTTTTGGCAATCCCGGGATCCCGGGATTTTAGAAATGCAATCCCGGGATATCCCGGGATCCCGGGATTGAGCAGTTTTTATTTTAACCTGTCTACAAAGCAGAATTTTCTTGCAATATCGTATGTATATGGCGCATCCTTACCATCATAAACACAATACCAGGCATACACCTTCACCCCCAACAAATATAAGAGCATGAATGACATTGATCATTGTATTTCTTGTTTATATTTCGAGTCAGGATACAGTAGACGTGCCTACGGATTGTGGTCGTCTGACCAGCAGCATGTCCTGGTCACATTCACTTGTTACGGTACGAGGGGGTATCGAAAAGTTCTGATCATCACCATGAATTAGATGTGATAGAAATTTGATTTTTTTACATGATGTTCATTACTCCTTTACAAGTCACCACACACGACCGCAAACTTATTGCATCGTTTCTTGAGATGCCTCAGGCGGTCATTGTAGGACCTTCGCCTTGTCCCGTAAATCACTGCTCCACCTCATCAATGACGTCATTTCTGGGCCTTTAATCACCGGCCATATTGTGGATTCTTCATCTCCTGTAACAATCAAGAGTCAGTTAATACCCGGTCAGGTGAATTTCTTAGATGCGGTAGGATTTAATGTCCACATCATGTTGATTCTTAAATCGCAGCTCAGGACGAATGGGCGGGGGCGCTGTCGGTGCGGATAAAACATCTTTCTTGGGCTTTTTTGCGGCGATTCTGCTTGAGGCCATCTCGCAACTTCTTCAAAAGTGTGCAGTAGTGCTTGCTTATCATTATCCGACCATCATCAAGACAGTCGGTAATGACTATCCTACGCCAGATCCAGAACACTGATAGCATTGACCTTCCATATCGGCTTCTGCATCTTCGCCTTTTATGAAGAACAGATGTGCCGTGCTTAAACTTCTTGATCATCTTTTTGTCTCTGGATCATACACATAGACCCAGCATTCGTCACAAGTCATTAAATGATCGAAGATGTCTTCAATTTCCTAAAAAAAGCCTAGTTTTCATTCCGAAAGGCCAATACGCATTTTTCTCTTGAACAAAGTAGACACACGAACTTCTAAGCGGGCTGACTCCTTTATCGTCTGTCGTTCTTCGCCGATAATATTTTCAGGCACTGCCAGCATTGAGACCTTTCTGTTGCACAATCATTTGAAAGGTCACACGACGATCTGTAAGGATGAGGTCCTCCACTTCCTTCACAGTCACCACCTTGTCAGTCACTGGTAATCACTCACTTCTTGACTCCCCTGCAAGGGTCATGCAACCAAGTTGAAAATTATTTCTTCATTTTCGGTAAGTGCATTAGATGGGCTTTCCTAGCTATAAACTAATTTCACGTTCTTGATGTATTTTCTCAGTGTGATACCGTTTCAAATGCATTAGTTGGATGACGGTTCGGTCCTCAATGGGCCCAATACTCATCTTTTTTACTTCTAAGTCTCTCCTACATAAGATAAAACCATTTCTCAGGATTCTCTTTGCGGGATCATTGTTCTTAAGAACCAAATATAATACCAACCAAAAATCATCAAAATCGGTCTAAATCTTCTATGTGATGATCAGAACTTTTCGATACCCCCTCGTAGTAGCACTTGAGGAAGCAAAGTGCATCAACGACTTCGTCGCCGAGACTCGACCGCACTTTTGTGACGATATTCCCGACAGTGGAAAACACTCGTTCCGATTCAACGCTCGTAGGAACTATGCCCTTCAGCCAGTTGTAGGACAGCGCTACCATGCCTGTCCTTCCTGAGATAGGTAAATTTTCCAATTCTTTCCTTATGGCCTTCGTCATCATCAGAGAAGATTGCGAAAAGTTAATCCCAGACGGGCATGAACTGGTGCCTTGCTCTGGAGCTCTAACCTCATCTAGAGCTTGTTGAAGCATCGACTGAAGAGACGGCGCTGATTCAGGATCATCAGCGTCCATCACTTCTGTATCTACACCTACTTCGGTATCATGCATCTGTTCTCCCAATCTTTCCATCATGTGGACAACTAAGTCCTGTGCTTCCTTGCGAGAGGCACTAGGAAAAATATCTTTCCAGTCTCTGTCTGCCGACATTTTGTTATGGAGCGATTGTAGGACTTTAGCCGCACGTGACCGTCTCTGTCGGATGCGCTGTTTCAACGCATCAGACAGTTTACATGCAATCCTTCGCCGGACACGTTTTGCGGCGTCTCTCCGGATCGGGATGGTCCAGCAACAC